CCCCCCCCGGCTCGATAATTGTGTGTCGATCCGAACTCGAACTCGAACTGGTCCACCCCCCTCTCGCTCGATCCACGCAATCTCGCGCATCGAACTCGAACTTGAACTCGAACTCGAACGGGATCAGTTAGAACTACCTGGGGCACGGCCTGCTCTTGATGATATTTCACCCTTTCCCTTTAAACTGAACAGCCTCTTCCTGTGGGGAGGTCTCCATCAGTTGATGCCTCCACTCACCTCCCGAGCGGCCGATCGCCGAGGCGATCCAGGGTCCGGGACCTCGAGCAACAGCTCAGTCGCGCGGAGGAGCGACAGAGAAGTCGGGCGCAGGGGGATGGGGAAGAGCGGATCGGACCGTTCAGGGGAGGAGACGCGACCTCAAAGTCATGTTGACTGTTGATTCATGTTGTTGTTTTTTTTGTCCGCTGAAGATGTAGAACCATCCTGGTTGGCGGGAACTTGATCAATCAACGTGACTGGATATTTCCTCAAGGTATTTCGGGGCGAGTTCGGGGTTTCAAGGCCACGTGTCGTAGCGCATACCAGATAAATACCATAATCCCAAAATATATATCAAAATACACCGAAGGCCGAAGTGCTGAGGTATGCTGATAGGTGCTAGGAAAGCAATCAGTTCATCAATTATACACATCATCAGTTGAACCCTGGTTGGCCAATGCCGAACCGTGGTCAGTGCCCCTCAGCACTTGTTCCGCCAGGAGAACTCGGTGCGTCTCAAGGACCTGGAGACATGAGATGCGGAGTCTGAATTGTTCTTTCCTTCATCGAGGATCGTTTGCCTCATTGATTCAACACATTTCAACACATTCTTTTCTGTTTTGGTCCAGAGACCCCTGAACTGCTCCACAAATCCACCAGCAGGCTGTTGCGACTCTTTGAGGCTTGCGCACTTCTTTTCGCATAGTCCAAAAGAGGATTTTAGGAACGGATCACCAAACTACGCCACTGGTTGTAGGTTTCCGTTTGATTCTTGTGGCCGCTAAAGGCGAAGTCGAATGACCACACTTGGAAGTCGAGTTTCGGATGTAGCTGTTCGTTCTCACCAGGAAGATCCCACTGTCCAATGGTCCAACAGCAGGAAGCGGCCAGTCGCGCGGCCGAGCGCTTGCAAGAGCAAGCCATGAAGGCAGGATGAAGGGAGGTTTTTTCAGCGAAGGGAACCTGAAGCATCCTGAAGCGGGTTCTCTGGTGTCCTTGTTGATGAGTTGTTTTGGGGCTGTCCGAAAAGCAGGGAGCACCCAGGAAAGTAGTATTTACAATAGTCGTTATAACTGTTCTTTAAAGTCCCAACTTCTTAGGGGTGAGTTCTCTGATACGACCATATCGAGTTGATTTGAAATACGCCTATAGGTTGGTTGCAGTATGGACATCCTATGTGTAGATGCAGCGGAGTCAGCATGGACCTCATGCTCGGACGGATCCGAGCTTCCTTCGACGGACCCAACTGGACCGAACAGGACAGCGGAGGACAGCGGACTCTCCCAAGTCCCGAGGAGCTGGTGGTTTCTATGGAACTGCTTCCTCTGGAACCGGTGGGGTTCCATACTTTTCACCTCGTTTTCACCTCGTTTTCACCTCGTTTTCACCTCGTTCTCACCTTCATCCAACCCACAGTTCACTCACGATCGTTCCCCATCTTCTTTTCGATCCGCCGATCCCGAAAGCACCGTCGTGTCGCAAGGAGCGGCAGCTCGAGCGGCAGTTGGCAGACGCTTCCTTGAGTTGCTTGGACACAGCTGTGAGGTCTTTAGGAACGAGCCACGTGAGCCGCCCTCAGCCACCTCCTTTTTTACAGGGGCAGATGCCATAGTAGGTGCTTAATGATTAGCAGAGCTCAGGCCTTCACAAAAGGGGGGGATTTGTTGGAATTCGCCTAGTGCATGGAGGCATGACTCCCAAACAAGTGATGTTCACGGTCCAAGAAGGGGAAACCAGGGCAGGTTGCGCAGCTCCAGCAGAAACTGTCGTACGTTCAAAATGGATTGCACGGTCGCTAGACCAGCTTTTGATGAGGACCAATATAAGCCGCTCAACGACCGGGGTTAGTTCCATTTTATCAATCTACTCTAACTAATCCCAAAGCTGTGAAAAAAATTGCTCATTCAGGCAGTCGCATCGGCATTGCGTTCCTCCCAAGCCTTTGACCTCTTCTTGCGGCCCCCCCATGACATATCAGCATGCACCTGCGCACCTGCGCACCGGGGTGGTCAGCCTCCAAGTCCCGTCCGTTCCCGTCACAACTCGCTCAGGCAGCAGCTGGTCCCGCATGATGGGCGCCGTCGAAGGGGTGGGGCCTGGGTGGTGACACATGACGTGATGACGTTGGAACGTTGGGACGGACGGCAGCGAGAAGTCATGGAATTCCAACCAAGCATCCAAGAGATGCCAAGATTGAATCCTTTCAGAGATCAAGAATCATTAAAAGACAAAGAACATCATACAGCCTGTAGGCTGTAGGCAGCTCCATGAAGTGCCGGCAGAAACCTACCTCTACAATCAAGCACCAATGGCTATTAATAGCTCTCTTCGAAAATTCAACAGACACACATTCATGGTGTTTTCCAGAAGAACCACAGTACCAGCAGTCCCATGGAGTTGGGTGCTATCCATGAAGGTCGTCGGGGTGTCCCGAATCCACACCCACTCTGGAATATGACGAGCCACACCCCAACTCCATGTTTTCCTGGTACTCGTTCATGGAGTTTGATTCTTTCTATGTTTGCTATGCTTCTTAAGCTACTAGTAACAAGTGCCACGCTACTAGTAACAAGTGCCTTACTAGTAGTAACAAGAACGCTACTAGGAACAGCTTGTTCTTTCATTTTCGACCTCTACCCCAACCTCGACCGCCCCTCGGCGTCGACCGAAGACCTTCCTGACCGCCCCACAACCACCTCAGGTCTCCGGCACCTTCCGAGCGGCCACCAGTCGATGCATGCGGCCGCCGGGGGACCGAGAGCCGCTCTCAGGCGTCGTGGGCCGTCCGCGTCCGCCTTTTGGTTGTGGACGCCGGAGGAAGAGGTGTAGGGCGCAGCTTCTGGTGATTCCAATATGAAGAGGTCAACTTGCACATGGGACATGGGGAGGTATTTTTAGTAATCAAGAATCTATATACATTTTGAATCATTTTGATACATCTTGGATCATTTTTATATTTCAGAAAGAAGATTGACATCATAATAAAAGCAATCAAACACCAGCCTCAATTGATGTGGAATCATAGGCTAGTGCCATCACATCAGTTGTACGGGGGAAAGATCCGATGCCTTGATGAATCATGGAAGGCGATCTGTTTATTCTTTGTCTTTTTTAAGGGCATCATTTGTAATACGGAAGCTGATCCAAGATTTGCTGAAACATCCGCGCCGTGCCAAGGAACAGGGGCTACGAACAGACCCCGTCGATTTGAGGCGCATTTTCCAAGCCGAAGGAAGCGAGGCAATACGCATGGCTGGGCTCTTTCTCAAATTTTCTCAAGATTGAGAGTAAAACGATCTCAATCTCACACAGCGCAGCAAGAAAACACAGCCACCTCTCAGACAGCCCAGCTGGCGCTGCTCATGGCTCGAGTTCAGTGGATCCTTTTGCTAGCGGACAGACAGACCGGAGAGAGCGCAGAAAGCTAGCGGAGACCGACCCTGCCACGCGGTCCGAAGTTTGAAGGCTTGAGTGACATCAAACCTCCCGCTTTGCTGGAGCGTTGCTCATATTAAATTGCTTGAGTCGGGTTCAAGCTTGTTTCCAGATAATTAGGCAGCATCCCAACATCTATTGGCTCTTCATCATCTACTGGTTGCCAAAGAGACAAAGGTTGATGAAAATGCAAACAGTCCAATGATGTTGATGTATTGTCCGTAGATGCCACAGCTTTGACAGGTCACGAGTTTTGTGAATTACACGAATGCAGGGATGGTCAGGGAAGATGTGTCAGAGGCACTTATCATGAAGTTCCCCGAGCAATGAACCTGCCTTGCTGCCCAGAAGAAAGATCATTGCTTACTCTCCCTGCAACTGCCCATGGAAGATCATGGAGTTCACCCCCTGTGAGGTATTCGGAAAAGCCGTCTTCCTTTCAGGGACCAGGCCATCCATTTCCTTGTTTGGAGGGGAGGGTATACTTGCCAACACCCAGTCGAGTGGTCCAAGCTCCGCCATATCTTTTGGGCTCCAGCGACGTGGACGGCAGAGGCCGGCGATGCCCTCACCGGCGATTCGAGTCCTCAGATTGCACTGCTGTTGAAGGCTGATTTCAAAAGCCTCAGTTGGAGACTAATGGTCGGCCGAGACGAGACTTTTGGGGCCGCACATCATCTGGGTCATTTGGGGTCCACTGAGAGGGAGGTGGTTTTGTCTCATGCCGTCCCAGACGACTCTTGTGGATGATGAATATTATATATATATATACACATGCATACATATGTTTAAAATGGTCTCCACTCTTCCACGCACGCACGTGCACACACTCACACAAGCACATACCACATCACCCTCCAACAGCTGAGATACCAGATGAGGGATTTCTCATGGGCCATGGAGATGTGACACGTGACTTGTATCCTGAGTGCTTTTCAAAATTGACTGCGAACACATTGGCCATGGAGACGGAGAAGCAGGAGCTGGAGAAAGGACGGTGCGATTTTGCGGCGGTGGACGGTGCGTGTGGGTGGATCTAAGGGATGCGTCGTGTTTGCACCTGGCAATGGGGGTGACTCTGGATCAATGCTTTTGTCATTTTTTGCCACTCAGATGTCTTAAGGGCATTTTCAGGCTGCATCCACTTTCATGATTAAACGAATAACACTCTTAATCTATAACCTCCCTCAGCCCTGAAGAGGTTTTTCATCCAATCCATGTCTGGGGGGCGACAAATTCATCCAGAGCCCTGACATCTTCAGCCTCCGTGTGAAGCCGAAGCCTGAGCCGCCTCGGCGCGCGCGGCCGCTCTCCGCGCGCAGCCGCTCTCCTCCAGGAGTGCTCCGAGCGCGTTGGATCGGCCCTGAGCCGGAGGAGTGGACCGACGAGTGGAGACCTCTCTGGAGACCTGGGTGCCCCTGGACGAGTCAGGGAGGATAGACCAGTCAGGAACCGAACACCAAAGACCGACAGGGAGAGGCGAACGTGGAGCTTCTTCTTTCGCACTGTCGACAGTGGAGAGGCTTGTCTTGGGGGTTTCAAGCATACTAGTACCACCAGTATTATTGATTCCTGCGTTGACTAGTTGGTAAACGTTTTCTGACTTTTTACCGTAGCCAGACTGGACCGATATCACTACCTCATGCTTGTTCCCACAGTATGGCAGCCCCACGATCAGATCTAAATCGGTTCATGATGTTGAAGAGATTCTTGTGGAGGATCCTTAATGGATTCATGAAGTCTGAAAATTCCCATCCAGATCATTCCAGATCTGCATCCCACTCACCGAACATCTGCTCCAGGAGGCTCTGCTGCGTGCAGGGCTCTTGGGCTTGAGCGAGGCCATCGGCACCGGCAGGCGGTGATCGACGTGATCGTCTCGATAGGTTCGTCTGGATGTCTGGAAGAATGGGGATGAAATGGTATGAAGAGACAGGGGATATATTGAATAAAGTGGTAGTAGCCACAAGAGCTGACCTTGGAGGATTTAGGACGATCTAGGATGATTTTGGTTGACTCTGTGCAGTGCCACAGGTGGTTCAGGGATTTGGGGCACGAGGGCAGCTGCCTGCCATCTCAACTAACACGCAAACAATTGAACAAAGAGTTTCTATGAGTTGATGAACTTTTGCAAGGTTCTCAAAAAAAGAAGCCAGTGATGTTTGATTGCGACAGCGCACAATCACGACCAGTAGCAGTAGCATCTTTTATTGAATGATAAAATCATTGATTAGACTGTAACTCACCAAATGCTCGCGAAAGACATTTGTGTGATACATTATTTGTGACGAAGGCTCACGAAGCCGAAGCCTCTGACATAGGCTTGGCTGCACACAGGCAGCCAGGCAGCCAGCCAACGACAGGGAAGCCTCGCGAAGCCACTTCCCACCAATTCTGACCCTGCGAAACGTAGGCAACCCGACAGTGGAGAAGGCACTTCAGAATTTTAAAAGAATGCGACTCAAGTGGACATCTTCTGAGACCTGAGCAGCTTTTGAACTCCCCACAGCAGCCCCTGGGAGACATCACACGTCCCTTCAGACATCACACGGCGGGCACGCGGCATGGGAGGCTCTTAGAATTTCCCAGAAGAGCCAATGGAACGCTGGGGGAGCCCGGTGTTCACATGATTTCACATAGTTTCTTTTGATGTTCTTTTGATTGGACACAGATGTTCGTCTGTGAAGTGGCATTGATCTTCGATTGATACGATGCCAAATTGTTTGGTGGGTGGGTTTGAGAAGCGTGTGCTTCTCAAGTGCCACATCTTCGTTGTCCCATGGCATTGGATTTCTCTCAAGTGCTGCGGCTGCAGGAAAACATACATAACCATGTATAATCACAAACTGATCATTAATCACAGTGCCACCATGTGCCACCGATGTGCAACTGCTGACACGCGGTGTAAGCAGTCCTAGGAGGTGCATGTGCATGTGCAGCATAAAAAGCACCATGCATCGCCACAGATGCGACACCACCGCTCGGCATACCCCTAAAAAAAGGAAGGTGCACCAGCAGATGTGGTTTTGGGCGCCGATTTTTCGTGCGCCATGACGCCGTTGATGCTGGGCCTCATGGTCTTCCTGACCTCCGCCGAGAGGTTTGACCCCACACCCGATGGACCCGACACGCAGCTGTTACAGCAGAAGCTGATGCTGAAAGAAACGCTGCCGACGCAGAAGCCGTGGCAGAAGTACACGTTTTTGGTGGGCGCCACCCACAAAGCTGGCACCCACTTGTTGAGGGAAGTGATGTGCTTTGCCTTCGATATCATGGGAGCCAGAGATTCCTGCATGTACCCAGAGTTCCGTGGGATTGGGGAAGGAGTGACTAGCACCGGTGTGTCTGACTGCAATGAGATGGATGCACCCATCCAGTATCACCAGTCCGTGCGCAGTAGCGTGATTCTTCGCCTGCGGGAGGAGGGTCCCCTTCGGGGGGTCATGACCATCCGGGATCCGCTGGACATGGTCGCCTCGGGCTATGTCTACCACCACCGCGGGGCTGAGCCAGACTTCCCCTTCATGCCCAAGAACATCACGCAGCTCAGCCCGGCAGAGGGCGTTCCGCTCATGGCACTGTACTGGCTTCCAATCATCACCGCCATGACCACTGCTTTCGAAGTGAAGGGCAATGATGTGCTAGCAGTGCGATATGAGACCATCACCAACTCCTCCGACTCCTTCAACGCCAGTGTTGGGGAGATGGTCGAGTTCCTCTTCCGGGGCTACATGTCTCCGAAGCAGAAGCAGCAGATTCTGGATGCAGCCAGCCGTGAAGACTTGCACCTTCATCCAACGGCCAGTGTCTCAGATGATCCTTCCGTCACGAACCACACCAGTCCGCCTGACGACATCACCGAAGCTAAAGAAGCCTGGAAATTTCTGGGGAAAGATCTTCAGAGGACGTACCATCACTTGCGAACCATCCTGGGCTACGTCTGAGTCCAGTCCTGAGATCCTGTAAATGGCCTGGAAAGGGCTCGGTACTGTAGCATGGGATTTTAGCTTGTTGAACAAGAAAGGGCATCCACGGCATCCAAGAAAGGGGTGTTCACGATCCATTTTGGGGTCTGAAAAACACAATCCCAACTTGGAATTCCAAGATGCAAAAAGTCGACTGCAGAAAGTTCCAAACATGCCAAGGATTTGCCATACTGTAGCAACTAAGAACATGCTGATTCTGACGCATGTTACATTTGTTTTATTTGTTTTTGATTTTCAATGCAACGTAGAGATCCCAACTCGACAGGACTATTTGATGCGTTTTTTTCAGTCCGAATTGTTAGAAGGGCGCCTTTTTACTCGGCTGTTTTCAGTTAATACCCATAGAACCCATTTTTACCTCTGTTCTGATAGAAAAAATACCATATTTTGGCTCCCAAACAGGGGTCAATCCGGCTCTATAGGTGTATATAAAAATATACAATTTATATAGTAAACCTTTGCTTGGGATTATTGAACCCACTCACTATAATATGTTTCTATTGACGCGGATGGGGATGATGAGCACAGTGGCGCCCAGTGGCGCCCAGTGTCGACCGGTCCGACTCTTTCAGTTCGCAGCGTGCCTTTGTTCCTTTCAGATCGCCTGGAGGGCTGAAGTCACAGGCTGGGCCAACCGGGCCACACTTGGGGATGACGAAGCTACACTTTGAGCCACCTCTCCAACGCTCGAGACACGGTCTGAGGCCGTTGCTGACGCGCCAGGGCTTCTTTGAGCGGCTTTTGAAAGGGGAGGCCGGCATCGACCGGCGTGCTTGTGTGATTAGAAGATTCCTATTCGTGGATGAAAGGCTCATATCACATATCCAAAGGGGCACCTATTGGAGAAAGGAGTTGGGTGCCCCTGTCACATCCACTCACTGAATGGGACTAATAACATCAAGCATTTCTTTGGAACTGCGGGTAGACTACCTACATACTTTCTTTGGAACCAATTGGAACCATTTGGAAGAATATAAAACATACTACATACTTCTATAATCTTCTATGTAGGAACCCTTTCATTTGGGCCACATACTTGTCCTTGGCCCCCTGCACCAATGGCCTTCACCCAGGGAAATCACCCTCCATCGCCTCTTCGAAGCCGGTGTCATCACCCGACCATCCACCGCGCACCGGCCGCGGCTCCAGACCTCCTTCCTCAACTGCGCCGCGGCCGATGCCTCGGCCGCTGAGGCGGGCGGCTCCTGGCGGTTTCGGAACATGGGGAGGGTAAGAGATGGTAGAGATTTGAGACGATTTCAGCCGTACCCACCTGAAAGAAACATTCAAACATCGAATCTTCCAGAAGCCCCAGATGCGACTTGTTTGGCATAGTGAAACCATTCCACCCATGGAGATGCATCGTCCATCTGCCAGACTCTACCTATCTGCAAACAGTTCTGGGCATTCGTACATGTTACATATCTCGAACCAGATTACCAATAAGATGGGCAAAGAAGAGAAAACAAAGCGGAAGAAGCCAGAAACAAATGAGTATAGAAACGACAAAGTTAGGGGCCGTTGGCTCATATATTGTCCTCACATCGCTCCTCCCTCGCAGTGTGCTGCAGTGTGCTGAGATGCGCAGTTCACAGGATGTTTGCCCATTTGCTGTTTCCACGTGGTTGCAGCGGATGCAGAAAGGCGGGTGGTTGCCGCTGAAAAGCATCCAACGAATCCCCACGATATCCAACAATGGTTTCTTTATGCCAACTTATTTATGTTCTTTTGTTGTGCTTTGTTGCTTGTTATTCCTGTTTTTCGGCTGCCAAACAAACACACAAGAAAGTTGCTGCCACGCTGCGAGGTTAGCACCAGATAGGAAAAGTGTGGTTTCTTGGTCTCGAACAGGGATCTCACCCTTGATTATGCTGTCTAGAAAGAAGTACCGTACTAATACTATGGGTTTGTGTTCTGTTGAGGTGTCCAGTTGATCTAGGCAAGCATACCCCATAGTCAAACATCATCCCTGCCCGGGAACGTCCACAAACATACAAACCCATCTGAATCAGAGCGGTCTTCTGCCAGATGACTGCAGACAGAATCAGACCAACTGAGCTTTGGCCGTGCACCGAAGATCGATGCACCGCACGAGCCGTCGACACCGGTGGAGCCGTCGACACTGGTGCCGTTGGAGAGGCAGATGTCAAGCGCTTGGCACTCCATCAACTCTTGGCGATCAGGCGAGGAAGGACAGGGCGGTTGGAGGGACCGGTTTGGAGGGGTTTGGATCAGTCGGAGAGTTGGAAGTTTTGGTGAAGAAGAGCACCCTTCCAAGAAGAATGGTAGAAATGATGGTATAGAGCCCTTTACCTATTGAAGTTTCTGTGAAAACAAGTATTTTCGCTGCTTGAATTCCTCCATGGTGGGCGGTCACTTGAAGCACCGTTCCCAGGAATCTGACCGTAGCTGGGAACATCCAGGTACTAGCAGAAGGGTTAAGTCGAATCAGTTGATGAGAAGTTGTGTCATGTGTGTGCGCGCTCGGTTTTTGGCCTGCCTTTTACAGTTTTGATCTTGTGGTGTGACGTTGTTGATCATTATTTTCCAGCATTCTTCCAGTGTGCACACAGTGTTCTGGATCTTTTTGCAGTTTTGTCGTTTTCTTGGCCAATCTCAAACTTGAGTCCTTGACAGAACATGTCAAACTTGAGTCCTTTTAAGCCCTGTGCTAGTAGAATTAATCTTGCACGTCTTGCACCTAAAGCCACCTTCAATAAAATCGGATTTTCTCGTGCCTTCTCCAAAAAGACTTCGGGTGCCTGCGTGTCGCGTGTCTTTCTTCACCAATAAAACGAGGGGTTCATCAACGTAGCGGGCGATGCCATGGCCGAAATGGCGCCGTTGGCATCCGTGTTCGCTCCGTCAGGCCGGGCTGCGGAGTGGGCCGGGCGTTACGGGATGTGCAGGGATGGGCGTTCCGGGCGGTCTCGCCCCAAAGGGACGATTTCGTGCAACTTGCAGTTTTGGTATTCACCTGCTCAGTCTGTTTTTGATATTTGCATCCAGGGAGTTGAGGACTTGAGATTAGATATTGCTAATTACAGTAGTCAGTCTGGGTGAAGCCCTTCAACCCTACAATCTGGGCATTTATATTTAGTGGAGCTTCTAGGGCCGATCAACCCCCTGCACTCCATCAACGACGCATAACGGCGCCGCCCGGCAGGTGTGAGGCGGCCTGTCGCGCAAACTGTCGCGGGACAGGTCGTCGCCTGTCGCGTGCATGTAGAGGGCAGGCGTGGGGGTTCGTGTCAGCCTGCAGCGTTTCATCAGAACTCCCAGTCTGCCCAGTTGCTAATGCTTGTTTTTGCAAGTCCTCTACCAGACACGAACAGCACCCTAGAGCCACGCCCTGCAGCAACGCCAGCATGCAGGCCGAACAGTAGGGATTGTATGTTTTCATCAAGCACAGTTTTTACTGAAAAACGTTTCGAGTGACTTACATTTCCAGCAGAGAGTGTGTGCGCGCTTGCCTGTGCACGATCTCACGACGGGGCCCGATTGAGACTGTAACACACTATGAACAGGGGGTTTTTGTCCCGGTTCCGGAACTCTTCTTGATCGGTGTTGCAGACTGACCTGAACTGCCACCCGTTGACTGTTCCAACTGGGCTCCACACCCCAAGCCAACACTGGATATGGAAGGAGTGTGAGGAGCTTGGAAGCCAAGAGGGCTTTGATAGGACCAACCAGGTTCATGATATAAACAGTATACAGTATGCGTACACTTGGCGGGTCTGTCCCAAAATCACCGAACACCCCAGTAATATCGGTCTATATATCACTCTGTATGTGAGGGGGTGACACTTGGTCACCGAAGGCTTCAGACCGGGTCGCCAACAACCGTCGAGGCCTCAGACCCGTCGACGGCCCTTGTGGCGTTTGGCACAGCTCTTGGGCTTGCGCGAAGTGGTGGTGCAGCTTGGAAGGTGCCAAACCGCAAGGGCGATGTGCGGGAGTGGGAGAGGGGTTGCTGGTGTGGTGGAAGAGAGCTCCATTGCAGAGTGTTAATTTTCTTGCTTCTAACATCTATAGGTCCATGCCAAATTGCCAAAGTCGAAACGGCTTGACCTTACGTTGAAACCTCCGATGTCCGAGTGCAACCACTGATCGGCATGCTGTCAACCCGTCAGGTCATTGAACTGGTGGGTGGACACACGTGCTGTAGCTGGATGTAGCTGGGTACCCAGAAAGGTGTTGGTATAGTTGCACCTCACCGGGGCAAGGCCATGGGATGGCGGTCGATGTTGGAGTCAACCCCAGATGTTGTACTTGGTAAGAGATCTTTAAGAGAATATGTTCCAGATTTTTCGGCAAGAAAGACACATTCTTCGGTCGAGAAGACAGACTGGAAACGAGTCGGCGCTGTGGGTGAAACATGTTTTCAGTCCAGGGTCTACGCACAGGTGCGATAGACGACGTTTTCCTGTTTACCAGAGTGAGTTTATACAGATGGGCATTGACAATGTCCCAAATGGTGAATAGTGGTCACACTAGCTAGGGATTCTTCAGGTAATGATTCAGGTTTGTGAGGCACATCAAGTTGTTGCAACACATTTCAACTCATCGACCACTGTGCTCCACACGAGGCACCTCCGCCCACAGCGGAAGCGCTTGGTTCGCTGGCGCAAGCGGAGTGCGTGGCGTGTGCGGAACACGTGGCTGTCTGCGTGGCAGGCGTGGGGAAGGTGGGGAAGGTGAAGTGGGAAGGAGAGGTGGGCCTGTGAAGGCAAGATATGATGCTGAGAGGACCCAGTCATGTTGAATTAATTGTTGGACCAGGAGAACATTGAAGAAAGAACAACGTGCATATACATCGTCTGTAGTTGATTTGTTGTGAGGACGATTGAGAGGAACCAAAGCCCTCTGTGTCTATGGCCGGTTTTTGTGGTTTGAGCATACAATTCATCTATTATATACTCTAAAAAGTTACGAAACATCACAGAATGTTATTCAAGTTCTTCATCTATAACTTTCTCCAAAGATGTATCTTCCATGTGCATCCTTGGGTCCGTCTGATTTTTTTCGCCCAGACGTATGGCCCCGGCCGCTGCTCGCGGCGCCTGCAACAGCTGCTCTTCTGCCCGCAGGAGTGTCTTTTCACCTGTGGATAAAGGGACCACTGAAGTAAAGGTAGATCAACATCTGGAAGCTTGGAGGGAAGATATTTGGCCAAAGCTCAGACCTTTGAAGAATCATCCTCTGATGCACATGTGGCCAGTCTTTGTTTGGTGATGCACATAGGATATGCTAGGATCTTTTCTTTACCATGTGTCTTTTAGTCTTTTGTCATTATAAAAGAGGGAAAGCACCTCGTCTCGTGCTGAGCACACGCCAAGACCAGGGAACCGCGGGGGAAGACGCTCCGGAGCCGATCTGCTGTGGTGAGCCGCCGTAGCAAGGAGAGCCGTAGCGATGCCACGCTGCTGTTCTTGCTGGTGGCCAAAGGACGAGGGCGGTGCTTTAAGGAATGGATATAGGAAGGAGATAGGAAGGAGATGATGGAAGAGTTTGTTTCAAGTCTCAAACCACGTGCAAGTCAGTCTCACGTGTTCAGCTCCTTTGAGCGGAAGTCCTGTTCGACCCGTGGCCCGTGATCCCACAAGGAGCTCCCCAAAGCTGGTCCCACAAGGAGCTCCCTCTGCTGTTGACAAGGTATCCATAGCTATCCTCCCTTGGGTCCCGAAAGTTCGGGACTAATTGCTAGAAGCTTAATAGGCTGGCCACATTGCTCTTCTATCAGGATATCTGAGAGGGTAATCCGAACACAACCATGTGAGTCTGGTATTTGAGTTAGAAAATCATCTGAAATCTTTGCTTAACCTTCATCAGGATTTTTGATCCGGGGTACCTGTCTCTTTTTCTATCAACCGCAAACCATCGAAATGATGGTCTGCTTATATTTTGGATCATTTGTTGTTGCTCTTTCTTTGCGTTGTTCTCAGATTCAATGGAGCACCTAAATCGAAAAAGGACTTCTTGACTTCATCTGCTCCCAGTGCAGCATCCCCTTGCAGCAGCAACCAGAGCGAAGAGGATGCCCCAACGATCAGACCGAGATGGGCGGTTGGAGCTCCAAGCTCTCCTTTCAGCGCCTAGGTGGAACGCAGATGAAGAGGGACAGAACATGACAGAACTGGGAATCAGGGGAGACGATGTTGGCCTCTGAAGTCTCAGTACCTGCCGTCTTCACCTCTCCAATGCCCAGATGTCAAGTCGCACGCGAAACCGCAGAGCAGGGCCGCCACAACCAAAAACCGATCTGAACCACTTCCTGGCACGGAAGAAACCGCAGTTCCTTCCGCCCGGGTCGATGCGCGGCGCGGACGCGACTGGCCGAGGAATCGGCGAGACTCGCTGGCCCGGTGCATCACAGGTGGGTCACGGGCACAGGGAGTCAATGGCATAAAGGGCCTCAGAACAGCGGGGATTTGACAGGTAATTGTGGTGGCTTAAAGCAGTTTTGGGCATGTTTTGGGCATGTTGGCATGTTCTTGCTGGCTGATGTGGGTTTAAAGCCACGCGTGTATATCGTTAGCTTACAAAACAGGAAGGTGCGGAAGGGCGGTTGGGGCCAAGGTTTTCTCTAAGTGGTATACCACAATGTGGTGCTCTGTCCGCAGAATGGCTGTTTGATCGTTGGAAAGTGACAGCGTTTTTTTTGTTCACGCTGTCGTCCGTCCGGTTGTGCTGTCATCGTCCGTCGAGTTGCGAGGCCAGTGTCCGTTCTGTGGCTGGGAAGGGTCTTTGTAGACCAGCAGATCGGTTCTCCTTGTTGGTCGAGAACCCGTAGATAAATCGTCTATGTCTATTTGTGCTTCAAACTTCATTGGAAAGCGACAGGTCATGGATAAATCGGGATGTTGTCGCTGAACATGCAAACCTGTTGGCCTTCGAACGAAGACCTGTCGGAAAGTCCTTGAGCTAGAGACTCACGGAAGAGCATTGATTCATCATAGCGAAGGGGTCGCGCATCAAACCGCTCAAAAGACGCGTTTTGGGCGTTTTGCAACGCTTTCAACAAACATCAAGCGACGCGACTTCACAGAAGATCCGAACCAGAATTCTTAAAGAACCGCCTGGCGTGTACTAGTACAACATCTCATTTGTTTACAACAGGTCGCTTTCCAGAAAACGCCCCAGCTGTGCGCGGTAGCGGTAGTGCCTGTTGCTGTTATGCTGCAATCCTCAACCATTGTGCGAACGGGATTCCTGATGAACCTAGTTGGTGGACCATGGAGCCTACATGACTACTGTACATCACCACCCATGTCAGACTCGTTTTCAGATGGCGTATTGACTCCTTACTGTAGATCTACTTAGTAGTTCTTAGATGGCTTGCATAACTGGTGGTTTGGTGGTTTGGTGGTGGTCATATTGGCCGTCCCATGGACCCTATGGTCGACGGCCTCGTGGTTGATATCGAGTCCGATGTCGGACCGATGGGACCTAAAGTAGGAGGCCGGAAACCATGCCAAGGTAGGCAGAAATGTATGGATACATGGTAGGTAGATGGCATAGATCATATGATATAAGGTTGGAATCATAGATCAACCCTTGGAGATGGCATAGATGGATCATGGAGTGTCTGGGTAAGTCCGAAGATATGCAGGAATTTGATGCAGACATGCGCAGATTCATGGCAGGTGCTCTTTGGCGAGACGAGCGCTGCACCCCCTATTCAGACAGGAGAGTCGATGTGTCGGGGTGTTGGCCGATTTCCACCAAAGAGTGCGTGGATGACCGTGGATTCAGGAAGACCACTTTCCTTTACCATCAAATTCCCGCTTCCATGTAAGTGTACCTTCTCCACTCACCGAAGACCATGGCCCTGTTGGAAGACTGTTCCATCACCAAACGCGGGTGAACGCGACTCCACTTCGATTAGTCCATGTATTAATGTACAGTGACTGGATGTTGTGATCCTTGGTGATTTAGAGGCCAAACTGGGCACCATTTCTTCTTTTGGGGGACTTCTGTGGCTTAAGCCGAGAACCCGAAACGCCCACGTCCGAACCTCGACCTGGCACCACGACTGTGGATCCTGCAGGGCTTGCGCGGTGATGTTCAGTGGTGACTGTAGCTGTTGGCTGCTCCATGCTGAGACCTGGCAGAGATCTGGGTGACTGGACCAGCTGGTTGGACTGGGTGGCTTGGACCTGGTTGGTCAACTTGGTGAGACCCCTGTTGGACTTGGAACCGGCTGGATGGAAGCGGCTGAATCGTTGAAGAAAGGAGATCTTGACAATTACCTTTGGGATACGGAATATCAGACAACCACAACAAAGAAGCCAGCTACTCCCTCCTACCTACCACAAGAACCTGTCCATGTGCAAGACCGCAAGTTCAGACATTGCCATGCAGGTCGTCTTCGAAGAAAGGTATGCTCGCGCCTTCTTCGGACTACAAGGGAAAAAACATGGAAAACCCGTTCTTCGAGCTGCAGGAAGGAGGGAACGAACTATTTGTCCGGGAAAACAGGGAATCTCCCAGACCCTTAAAGGGACTGGACAGAAACTCCCCTGGCATGTGATCAGCGCATTTTCAGTGATCAGCGTGTGCAGGGGAGGACCGAAAACATGACACGTCTCCCGGTTGTTCTCCGCACACACCAGGATATACCAGGATAGTTGCCCAGGGCCTTGTTGTTTGCTCGCTGCGTCCTCGAGTCCAAGGACCTCGCTCCGGGAGTGTCCGAGTTCGCTCCGGAAGGTCCTCGAAGTTCGCCGGGGCGTCCGAATGATCTTTCTTCGCCCCAAGGATGAGCTGGTGGCCTCCGTCGGAGCTGAGCCGGATGAGACGTGGCTCTTGACCCAGGCAGTGAGGACGTGGGTGGCCAGGGAGAAGCGGCGAAGAGGGCTTACAGACAACGGGCCAACGAAAAGTTCCATACCAGCAGTTCCAAAGAAATGGTTTTTAGTCCCTGAGTGAGTGGATATTGGGCAATATACCCTTATCCTCTAATGGGCACACCTTTGGAACTGCTGGTGCTTCTGAAATACGGGTGCAACCGAGACTAGATCTTCACTTTCTTTGTTCGGCTTGCCTCAACGGGTCCGCCGCTCAATGGTTTTCTTTCATCTATAGAATGTTGGGGGACCCTGTTTTTAGATCAAGCATCAGGATAGAATAGCCTCTGTTTCGATGGATTTGAACATCACAACCACATGTTTTGAATTTGTCCATTCTACGTCCCACTCACCCATGATGCCTCACATGAAGGCAAGCGACTGTTGGTGGCCTCGGCTGTGCCAGGTTTGGAGAGCTGTGAAAGCCAAGTCAGCCACCTGGCCGCGTTTGGATCTGGTGATGGAGCGCCTTGAATCGTGGCACTTCCTTTCGTGGCCAGAACAAGGAACTCTTTGCCGATCCAAAGAGCAAGAATATCTTCAGTTCCTCTCAGGAGCTTCGTCAAACCACCTGGTTTTGAGGTTACAGACCACTGCTACTTGTATGGTCCAAGGGTTCTTCGGGTGGGCTTGGAATCCTCAGTGTTTGACACAGTTCTCTTTTGGGGGGATACTTTTTGCTTCGGTGTGACAGATTATTTGACGTCACTCCTATGCCACTCAAGATGGTTCCAAAGCGCTATTTGGAAAAAGAACAGATTTGGAAGCAAACACTGCAACATCATTTTGTATCCTTTGCTGAAGTAAACAGGTCAAACACAGTCCAGATAAGCAAGCCGTTCCCTTTTGGAGGGGAAGAGAAAGAAAGGGGAACGAAGCAAAAACCCACAAGTGTCCAAGCACCATGAAGAAAGCGCCAACAAGAAGTAAGACGACGAGATCTTCCTCAGAATCACTAACTCTTGACCCTTTGACACCATGCCTCCCCAGTCTTTTCATTAGGGCGTCATGATTTTTTCTCACAAAAAGGATGTCATGACCAAACTAGAGGGCACCAATGAACAATCGACAAAGCGTGGACCACGTAGACCACGCTAAGGCAATCTGCAGATCTACTTGAGTACCCGTGGATTTGGCTCAGAAACCCACCAACCCGTGGTGCACCTCCATTTCGCTGAAAAAGCAGTCCAACCAACGAAGCGGAACCCTCTGCATTCCTCCCATCTGCCCATCGGATCTGCCCATCCCATCTCAGGTGGTCCAGCTCGGAGTGGAGGAGGTGGTGAAGCCTCGGAGCGATGGGCATTTGGAAGCTGCCACCTTCAGGCGGTCGAGCGAGCTGAGCGATGGGAGCGGGAGCGGGTTTGCGAGCGTGCCGCACCGGGTGTTCGGGCGTGGTTTGCATGGGCCTGTGGCGATTTCTGTGGGACCTCCAAGGTGTTGGAAGATGGAACAGGATCAAAGAAGAAGTTCCAGGTGAATGGGACAGTTTAATTTTTTCTCAAACAGGTTACTGTTAGGGCTGTTAGGGGTTCTCAATTCTTTCTTAAGATGTGTCCGCCCTTTCTGTCACTGCTGGTGTCCGCCCTTTTCCGCTGGCCATGCAGCATTTCTATTCATTTGTCTCCCAGGTGATTTCTTTACTTCCCCAAACAGGTTACTGTTAGGGGTTCTCAATGCTTTCGAAGGGTATCCGCCTTGCTTCGGGACAGCGTGTCCGCCTTCCGTCCGGCTTGTCACCCTCTGTCTCCCTTCTTGTTGGTCATTGTGTCCGCCTTGTCTCCCTCCTGTTTTCCTTTGTCTCCAGTCTTGTCTCCCTTCTTGTTGGTCATTGTGTCCGCCTTGTCTCCCTCCTGTCTCCCTTTGTCTCCGGTCTTGTCTCCCTTCTTGTTGGTCACTGTGTCCGCCTTGTCGCCCTTCTGTTTCCTTTTGTCTCCCTTCTTGTCTCTCTTCTTGTTGGTCATTGTGTCCGCCTTGTCTCCCTTGTGTCTGCCTTTGTCTCCGGTCTTGTCTCCCTTCTTGTTGGTCACTGTGTCCGCCTTGTCTCCGTTCTGTTTCCCTTTGCATTTGTCTCCCAGGTCTAGACTGCTGTATCCGCCTCCGCCTTGCAATCCTTTATTTGTCTCCCAGCTCTGGGCTGCACTTGCAATCCTCTACATGTGTCTCCCTGCCTCTACATTTGATCCCAGCTCGAACTGCTGTGGCCACCTTCCTTTGTCTCCCAGCTCTGGGCGTCGCAAGCTCTAGTTGCAGAGCGTTCCGATTTTGAACAAACTGTTTGGGGTTTAAAGTTTACGGTGGTGTAATTTTAATACTGGCAAGTGCAAACTGAACATGGGATTCTTTTTTGGCCATGTCGAGTTTGCACTTGCCTAGGTGATTGGAGGGTTTCTTGGAACAAGGATGCCCAGATCCACGAACACTGGATCTCATGAAACACCACTCTGACATGGAACTCCTAGATGATCCTTGATATGAAAAAAAGATCGAAAGCAGGGAACGTGTTCGAAGCCAAGAAAGATCAGCTTGGAAACCCTTTTAATAAATTAAATAATGACCTGGCCATGTCAGCTCATTGTTGTGCAGTTGAAAGGGTCCATCAGGGAATCCCCCCCGACACAAGGCACTCAAGTGGGGACCAGAGAGACACGGCCAGTATCGGGTCCCCCTTCCTTCTTCTGGTTGGTGTTCCGCGGCACTTGCTGTCCTCTGAGACATCCAAGGCGAGACACCACTAGTTGCGAACCCTTGATGCCAAGCAGCCTTAGCATGAGCGCCCTCAAACACCAATAGCCGCGATTTCTTCAATTGCCGGGGTTTGGTCCGGGTCAACTGTCCATCATAAATGAACTGTTCAACACAATCTCAACTTTCCTGAACTCCTACTCCATTCCTGAGCATTGGGAGCCTCCTTTTTCCGTGTCATTTATCGATAATATTTTGATTGGGCAGGTATCCCTATAGAGTTTCTTGAACACGCGTGCTCCGTGGTCGCAGGTTCCTTCGCTCGTTAGGGTGCTTTGGCGGTGCTCAGTGGAGGAAGCAGAACACATGGGAGCATTGAAGAGCGGATTGTCTTCCATGTGTACATTGGGTATGGGCGCCCCACCAAAACACATACCAAAACGATTCTACAGCTGTAAAAACCGGACGAGGTAGGAAGCCAATCCACGTGTGCCCGGGATCCATTCGTTTTTGGGATCCAATCACAACAATTACCTTGGCTCCCCAAACAGGTCGGTGGTTGATTCTGCATGGCCAGGTAAACGAAGCACTTGCTCCAAGCCAACATGACTCACCTCAAACATCCTGTAAGTTGAGAGATGTCAACCCAAAATGAAACAAAAAGGTGCAAGGTTGGCCACGCATAGTAGGACACCAGACAGATCCAAACAGAGATGCTCTCACACCCAAGCGCTCCGAAAGAAAAGGAACCGAGAAAGGACGACCGAAAACCATCCCGCTGGACCGACCAGGCCCGAACGCCGAGGCCCGGAGACGGCAGCGCGATGGTGTTGCTGGACGATCGGCACAGCCGAAACCTGCCGCTGATGCCGGATCGGGCCTCTGCGGAGGGCGGGGGCTTGAGGCGGGTGGCTGGGTTCGGAGGCCGCAGGTGGTGGGCCGAGGCCGAACTGGGTGAGGCCGCTCGGTGAGGCCGCTCCGGCAGGTGGAGTGGCTTTGAGAGCGACATGTAGTACTTTTTGTCTGAGGGGTGAGAAGGGGTTTGGACCTTGGGATGGGCAAACCTTGCACCTGCATGGACTCCATACACAGCAGAGACTGTACTGTAAGCTCAGAGTTCTTGCTCAAAACTATGTTGGGTGTGTCTCTATACCGGGAAACCATAAAGACCAGTGGGAGCAAGTCTCCCTGTGTCTCCTTCTGGGCAGGGGATGTTCAGTGGATCGGAATGTCAACAACGGCAACCCTCCCATGTGTATTTTTGCTCCGGGGTGTTGTAGCCCTGATATAGGCATGTGTATCGCTCTCTTTGACTTCGACTCAATCCTCAAAACCTCTTGGCGTCCCTTTGTCTATCAGGCTTTAGGCTTTAGGGGAACATGACTCTACGCACTCTACGTTAGATCTATATCTTGATTCCAGCTCTGGGGCTTTACCGTATTTCCCAGCCCAGTCGCTGCGCCGTAGCTTTTCACCCAGCTTCGCAGCTCTGGAGCCACGCGGCAAAAGCGCCAGGCGCGCCGTATGTGTTCTGGGCTGCCCCGCGGGGCTCACGGCGAAGGAGGAAACCGCGCTGGCGCGGGCGGCCACCTGTGCCGGTTGGCAGGCGATCAGCGGAGCGGTTGGTCGGGAGAAACGGGCTGGGAGCGAGCGAAGACCTGATGGATGCGAGCTGGGCGCCTTACAGTTATAGTATACTTGCTGATGGATGTTGGATGATGTTGGCCAGTGCATGACAGCGCGCTAATCGGCTTTGAAGACTTGACCTTTGGCAGTCCTGGCTGGGGTTGTTCCCCTACTTGCATTTGCCGGCCCAAAGCAACGGAGGGCAGGCAGATTAGATGGGGCATGCAAGGTGGCATTTTGGATACTAATAGTTGAATTCCTGACTTGTTGAATTTATAGCTTGCAGACAGTTTGACATTGTTGGCATTATTGATCTAGATCGATTTAGCACCAAACAAGCTTCTCACATCTTGTTGCCTCAAACTTCAAATATCAAAAAATGTCTCTGGTCTATGTAGCCGTAGCCGGACTGTGGCGGACTGCCGCCCTGCCTGAAGTAAGCAAATCCGGGGCATATGGGGGTCAACAAACTGACACCAATCGAGTTCTTTTCCATTAAATGCATTTAAGTCCTAGGCCGTTGGATCTCAAGAAGCTTCCATAATTACCACAGCTTGCTGTCAGCATCTTACAACCTTTATCCAAACTTTCAAGTTTCAAATCCGTGGTCAATCTATATAGACGATATATTCAAAAACAAAAAACACCGGTTTCTCACAAGTTACACCCACCAACTCACCCACTCACCGGCGTCCACCGGCCTCCACCGGCATCCACCAGGTCCGCTCCTGTGGCCTGGGCCATGAGCCGGAGTTCACCTCCAAGGTGCTGGCGCGGCTCCAGGCGCGAGGTCTTTGGTGTGTCAATTCTTGCAGACACCCACAAGATCGAAGTGTCAAGTGTCTTCATCCCCAACACCTGGGGTTGAAAGTTGAAACATGTTGAAACATCAAATTTCTCCAAGTGGCCCACGGATGGAATTGTGGTATTGTTTGTTTTGTGGGCTATCCGAACTCTGAATCAGTTTGCCCCAGATAGAACCCCCTTTTTCTTGGTACAACGATGAGGCTCCTGAAAAGTCCTAGGTCCTAGTTTTTCCGATCCTCGTACGGTTGCACGTATTTGAGGGAGAAGATTTCAGGGCGGCGCTGGTCGATTTCTCACCTCGGCCGCGAGTTGAGGTAAAATGAATTGAATCCACACTGAATCCACACACGGCTACTTCAAGTTCCAGACGGTGTCATTTGCAGTTGCTGCATTGCAGGTGTGGCACAGCAGTGGGCGCCTTTTGCCAGGATTGGCCACGGACTCAAGTCAAGGCCTGAGAGGTCTCAATCAGTTCCAATTGCGTGGTGTGAGACTGAAGGCATCAGAACACATGTGATGATAATATGGGGTCATTGGGGGTTCTGAGGGGGGGGGCCATTGGGCTTATCATTGGGGCCATTGGCCTTATAATAAGGGCATCACAACACATTTGAGCTATATACATAGGTCGGTATTTCATGCCTGGCCGTTTGATATATGACCATATGAACTCTGGTCCTTCGGCTTCAGATGGATCATTCCAAGCTTCCTGAGTTTGGGCAGGAGGAGCAGCAATGATTCAAGTTCGAATGGGCACACTTGTTTGGGATCGCTTGGGTTGTGTATTCGAATGGGGAGAGCCCCCCCAAGAAATTCCAGACAGAGGGAAGATCAACCAACACTCCAGCGGTTGGAAGGTCTCCCTCTTTTCCATATAGTTGGGCTACTTCTGTTCTGTTGCTGATGGGACTGACGTTTCTTTGTTTCGTCCAGGTCCTACTGCTTTGACTTGGCCAACACAGGACAGCACACAGAGCCTTCTTGGTGAGGCGGGGTGTTGCCACCATGAGCACCTCATTCACAAAAAAATAGTACTCTTCCACTCACTGACGTGATTGCAAGCCACGCTGCCACGCTGAAAAAAAGACTCAAGTGGGCTGCTTCCACTTCTGGTGAAATTGGACGAAAGGAAGACTTACTGTATCAACATGTGAAAAACAATGTGCAAGTCGCTGGTCGAATGTGGGGATCGATTCTGTGGAGACTGTCGACTGTGGTTTTCACTCCAGAGCTGGTTCTGACACTCTCAGCGGAGCATGAGGATGAGGGTGGGCAGGTAAGCCTAAGCCAGGTTGGTAGAGACTAAGCTGCTTAGTCTCATAAGGTTGGTAACACCTGGACTTGGACATACTCGAATCGCCAAGCTTCCTGTGAAGCCATGTCCTTTGCCATCCAGTATCACCAGTCACCGCAGCCAGTTGCCCACATGGTTTGAGGCAATTGACCCGAAAGAGACTTCGGATATAAGAACAAACCATTATGACAATCCCCACTCGAACCACCAGACCTCATGTCGGGACGGAGAGTCAGTCGTGGTTTCCAGGCGGTCTCAAGGACTTCCACCGGTTGCGCAACCGGACGCCACCCACGGTGCAGGTGCCATTGCACTTCGTTCTGCAGGTGCCTGTGGTGCCTTGGACCCCAATCAGCCGATCCAGTCCGGAGTTCACAGGAGTTGGGAGTTAGCAGTCCGTCCATGTCCAGTCCGCTCTTTTCTGCGCGCAACATCGAACTCGGTCACCCTTTTCAGGGCCCCTTTCTCCAATCTTTGCCATAAATCCGAGCGCCGGGCAGAAAAAGGCAGGCCAAGACTCGCACGGCTTAAGCATTCTTTAGACTTGAAAGTATAGCATATTATAAAGCTGCTACTTAAAGCACCCCATAGATTTGCAAAGGGCTCATGGAAAGCCTTTAGTTCGATCTCAGACACTATTCCTATACGATTATTCTTGGCCCCCGAGGATGCCGGCCTGCTGCTGCGCCTGCGGCGGCAAAGGTCCTTTCAGGTGGGGACGTGATCGGAGAGTCACGGAGCTGGGTCTACGGTCGCAGATGGTCGCGACCCTGGATTCAGAAGGGACAGGACAAGCACGAGCCTCGGTCGGAGAGGGGAGTGCTCTCAGATTCATTCGGAGAAAGCGATTGGGGGAGAACGGTTGGCCCAGTTGGCATGTCGCGGGGTGAAATGGGGGGTTGAAATGGAACGAGGGGCTCCATGGGCTCCAGATGGGAAGAATTAGTTCACTGATGTTCGAGTGCATCCCAGAAACATCCCTGTGTCCGTCGGAGATGGTTTGTTTATATTTTATAGGTTATTTCATTTTTGGAAGTGGGATTGGTGGGATTGGATGGAGATCGAAGATTGGTAGTTTCTTTTGTTCTTTGATTCGTTTTTTGGAGCTTGGATGGAGTTGGTCTGGTAGTGCGATTGGTGGGAAAACCCGGACCAGGCGGCAGTCCGGCTGCGTGGCCCGGGAGTGGCCGGGCCGGTCTGAGCATCGAAGCGATGAGAGACCTGAACGTTCGGACCCTGTAGTGGTACATATGGGATGGGCTACACTGGTCAACATCTCCTGGCTTCCTTTAAGACTCTTCGGTGCCTTTTGACGGTCAAGCCTCAAGGATGGACGTTCTTGCTGTGTCTGGCGCAACTGTTGCGGAGCTGCAATAGTCCCTACGACCCCTGGTGTTGTGCTGCGTAATGATTCTCCTTTAGACTTGAGTACGCCAGGGTTGCGTCCTCTAATGACTCTAGACGTTTGGTATTACTCGCGTGAGGCACGGAAGAAACTGGCCTTGGCCGCGCGCTGCCTGGTGGCTGTTTTGTGTCACTCGAAGGCACGGGGGGAGCAACGTTGGGTGAGGCAGTTGTGGCTGAAGAGCGTGGGACTTTTCTGTCCAAGCATTTACAGGAAGATACTAACCAACTCTTGGTGACTTTGCCTCCAGTGAACCTGGGATTTGGAGGACCCATTTTTGGAGCGATGCAACAAGAGGGTTCTTGTACGGGGGAGCATGTGATCCTGTGATCCGATTCTCAAGTCCACTTGCGTCGCTTTCGGCGTCGCTTCTCGACCCCTCTGAGTGCGTTACCTCGAACGCCGGCTGCCGTCGTTTTCTCGTCTCGTGGGTCTTCAGAGTCTCCAGAGTCTCCGCTCGAAGAGTCGGCGGAAAAAGGTGAGGAGACCCACTGGACCGAAGTTGTTTGGTGCCCCACGAGGTCTGCCGAAGGGTTTGGGCGGGGACTCCGGAGTCCTTTGTGGGTGGGGTGCTTCTGAATTCGATCAGGCGGCACACATTCTTTCGCGGACTTGGGTGGTTTTTAACGCACATTATATGGACAGTCAGAGCAAACATGAGCAAAAACATCAACTGGTCACCAGCCCTCCGCGCCGTTCTCGCCAGGGTGGATGGAAGGGCTGCCGCATCTCCTTGCGCTCTTCGGTCGCATGCAGGACCGGACCCCTGGGGCCGTCCCAACGGTGGTCCCGAAGCCACCTGTTGGGGTGGTTGGATCTGGTCCAGATCCGGCGGAGCTGCCCAAGAAGAGCAACACTTCACTGAGAACTAACACTGATAACTGATAACACTGATCAGAACGGGGACATGGTGGAACTGGGAGTTGTCGCACACTACTCGGCGTCTCGGCAGAGAACGGCAGATGTTCTCGGCGTCTCGGATGCTTCGACCTGGAACCGATCCAAACAGACGGGTAGCCTCGGTGTCTTTCGAGGCTTCCGCTGCGGCACTGGCCTGCAGCTGTCCTCCAAAGTGGTGGACACCTTAGGCCGACAGAAGCTCGCCCTCAGCGAGTGGCTTGCTTTGGTGGAGTGGTGGACCTCTTTCTTCGGAGGGGTCACTTCGGATGGGACGGGTGGGGCTCGAAACACCAACATCTGGACGAACACCAGCCAATTCGAAGAAACACTGGGGGCCGAGTTAGGAGATGATCATGTTCCTCACCACACAGGGACCCAAGGAGCTACAGCGAGTTTCCTCCTGCCAGGAGTTACCACAAATGTATATATATATATATAGTATAAGTGTATACGAAATACAGTGATGTTGCATTGCGCCATCAGATGGATCGCTCAACTCTACCAGAATTATCCAGAATTGGACCAATCCCGATCGGGCCAAATCAGGTTTGGGGCAACTCCTTCCCCTCCCCACAAGGCACTTTTCGTTCAGAAAAGACCGGTGGTGTGCTGTCGAGACAGCTGTTTTGGCAAAGCTGGGCTTTCTCAATGGAAATGTCTCAGGTATCCAGAGTCAGTCGGGTAGTAAAACAGTTTGAGAGTAGATGGCAACCCCCCGATCCCCTCTCCGACCTCTTGGTGCCGGGTGTGCCCAAAAGAAGCTCCACGTGGTTCCACTGGTTTACACGCGTGTGATTGAGGTGATCCAAACTGAGGTTCCACGTGCTGAAGCTGCTGAGCAAAGCCCTCAAGCAGCGACAGCACCGACCACTCGAGCCTGGCGACGCTCGGCTGAACGGGCGGCGGATTGCGAAGAAAGGCCTCTAGACCGAGTCCGGTGCCAGAGAGGTTCGCATTTGTTTTGGAAGACTTGATTGTAATTTCGTCCAAAGACTCACTTGACCAGGAAGTCCATGTAACAGATCAGATGATCCAAACATGGTGAAGAGACCATTGCCTATCCCTTAGAGAGGTGAAGGATCTCAGTGAGGCAGGGAGTAGATTCGAGAAATGTGAGAGCTGATTACAATGATTTACACTTACTTCCACTATTATAGTACTTGAGTCCGTGCTGGCCCACGTGTACAACTTCACTCAAATCCCTCCAATCTGTGGGCGACTCTTTCTTTCCCCTTCGACCCCCGAACATGGTCGAACTGAGCGCCATCCGCTGCAGAGCTGCCCGAGGATCGAAGCGCTTTTGGTGTCCAAGTGCTTCCTGCAGGCGCCGACCGACTGCGATGGTGGACGGGTGCGGTCGGTCGGCGCACAGGTTGGTGAAGAAAGTGCTTCATTGCCATGTGAAAGTGCGCACGTGTGGGTCACGAGATGTGCCAAGTTCTTGGCGCCACACCCTGTAGCAAAATGTCCTGTGGTTCCGGAGGCTTTTTGCTCTAAGTGGTCTTGACTTTTGACCCACCATCGAACGGGACCATGATTTCAGCAGACTCTGCAGACCTTGAACAAATCGAAGGCTTGATCTCACCAGTTTTGGCATGATCCATCTTCCTTACACATTCTCAGATGGTGAAGAAACAGATGAGGGACACCATCGGTGTGATGGCACCTCTCCTCTCTCCGGACACAAAACCAGGAGATGTGTTACCCTATGTTCATCCTTTGCACCTGCAGCTGATTAAGGCCGCTCGTGGGCGGCGGTTGTTTTTTTTTCTCTTTTGGCGCACGGTGGATGCATGTGGCGTATATATATTATATATGTTGCTGTTTCCTTCTCAAAGGCTTACGCATAGATTGCAGAGCAAGGAGAGCCGTTGGGTTTGGACCGGTTTCGTTTGGTTCTATAGACACATTGACGTCTCCATCAGAGATCACGCGTTTGTGCAGCATGGTCAGGTGGTCGTCCCAAGGATCCATGCGATCCACAGACCGAACCAGGTCGGTTCGGCGATCCCGAACGGTCCAATGGTGTCAGCCTCGCCTCGTCCCGGAATGGGGTGGATGGGGGGAGCTGCCCTGCAACCCTGGATGGATGGTGTGCACATTGGTAGAACAATGACCATATATTAGCGGACGGACTGACACTTAGAATGACTCAGCACTCATTGACGATCCAAAACTCAGGCGAAAATCATCGAAAACACCCGAAGCAGGGGGAGGACCCCGGTTCTAGGTGTCCAATTTCCATATAGGTTTCCATGAGCTTGGTCTTTTGAACACTCGCATCGTCTTAGAGAGAAACCCGGTTCGCTCGCCCAGTTCGCTGCGCTCCTGGTCGCTCCAGCTCTCCTTATTAGTCCGCCGAACACGGGAGATCCCGCGCGCGCTCCGTTCGCCCCGTTTGAGGAGACCGCCCCTGGCGCGAGGAGATGGCCTTTGGGAGAGCTCTTGAGGTCGCGAGAGGCGCACGAGGCTCGGAACGGATGGCACCGCACAGGCGATCAATGTGACTCTTCTAATTTGGGGGTCCGATTGGAAGCTCGGCTCTAAGTAGTTTGTGCAGAAAGATGATCAAGTCCTTGCCACAGGTAGTGTTCCACATTGAAGTCTTGCATCCCAAAAACATGCCTCTAATTACCTGCCAAAACAGCCAAGATGGTCTTGTTAAAGAAAAGAACGACACAAACACAGAAAACCATCATCTTCCCGATCACTCCTGGGTTCACATCTTTGTGCCGACCCACTTGGGGGACCACCGGTCACCCGTCCCTCCGGTCACGTCGTTGAAGGCGCCAGATGCTCTGGTGCTGCACCTCCACGCGCCCGGCGCCAGCGTGGCGACCGAAGGGATTGCTGTGCTGCCGAAAGTGGAGATGAAGACCACTGAGGCGCGGGAGAGCCCGTTGGGAGAGCCTGTTGGGACGGGTTTTGACCAAGTACATAAATATAAACATACGAATGAAGTACCCTTGATAGAAACAAGAGCTGAATGGTCCATGTGGCAGTTTGGGTTTCTGTGTTGGATTTGGCATGGTTAGGTGAGGTGGATATAGTTACAATGTAATTCAGTGATGGGCTAATGCATGTTCCTCATGATTCCTCATTGTGGCCCGCTTTGCTAACCAGCTGCTGTCTAGTCTACCTATGCAAAACTGCACCTGGTGTAAAAATAACTTTCAGGACTGGACTTTAAGATTATTCTCCAAACCAAGCGGAATTTGGTGTAAAAGCTCTCAAGTTCGTTTATGAGGTTACCGCTGATGGGAGAAACGCAAAAAGAACACCGAAACCGCAAGGGGATTGTGCTTGCAGGGGGCTCCCAATTGTCCCAATTCCAAGACACAATTGGGTCAGAGGACCCCCTATCCTTTAGCAGTTCGGGCAAGTCACTCCAGAATCCATTCTACCTATACCCAGACACTCCATGAGACTGCGCCCCAGCAAGACCCCCAGTCAACCACCCCTGGCCGTTTTGAAGGCAGTCCTATGGCAGTCCCATGGGTCGTGTCTACCTATAGCTACATTGACCCCTGTTGCTCATAGCTTACCGACTGAGACGAGGCACGGACGGAGACGTAGCGTCGCATTGCGCAGGTGATCAGCGTCGTTCAAAGCGGTGTGATGGCGAAGCCCTCCTCTGCTGGCGTGGTGCTTTTAGATGCGCTCTTCGATGGAACCTGGTTGCGCAAGAAGTAGGGCGAAGAAATCCAAGACGAACAGTACTACTCTCTGATGAACACATGGAAGTCGAACGCAGGACATGACTTTGTTGCTAAATTAGATCCCTTCGTCGAGTCAGATGAACAGTTGATCACCGCCGCGGTCTTGTAACAGGTCAGGTCCATCGCTTTGTTTGCTTCCAATCTAGGAAACCCGATGACTGAGTACCGCTAGTAGTGCCATCCGAAAGATCAGGTCGCCACATGGCGCCGCCCCAGATCCAAGAAAGGGCCCCCCGTCCCGGCCACCTGTCTCTTCTCTTCCCTGTCTCTTCTTCCCTGGGGGGTCACCGACTCTCGGAGCTCCGACTGGTCGGTGGGGGGGGGAGGGGGGCAGGGGTGCTGTCAGGTTGGAAGGAAGTGGAGCCATTTTGATAGGAGGTGTTTGAAGCAAAGAAGGTGTCGGAACATGTTCCATTGTCCTCTGCAGATCAAGTGTTTCTGCAGGTTCCAGGATCCACTGCACGCTATCTGGATCAATGCTTGACATCCGGCATCAGCGCACCAGATCTTGGTGCAACTGGAGCTCCTGGCGTACTTCCTCAAAGGCCAGCCTGCTGCCCAAGTGCAGCAGCGCGCGAACCCTCCTCCCTCCTTGCTCCCTTGTTTATTTATTCAGACCTTGTTCTTGCAGCTTTGAGGAAGCTTTAGCTTGGTGCTGGGCTGCTTACAGGCAGGTGAAAGGTGAAAGCTTCCTCTTTTGCAAAAACCCCGCCCACCCTCCCCTGTTGATGGCCCAAGTGCCTGCCCTGGAGTTCGGTGGCCTGCCAGCCTTGCAGGGTGGTACCTGCTTGGCCTTGTGTGTCAACCATTGCAAGCAGAAGGGCGCAAGGGGTGTGGGGAGGGTTAGTTGGTTGCGGAACGGCCCCCTCCCGTCACCCACTCCAGTCCCACCGAATGGAGGTGGAGTCTGTTCTGTTTGATTGTGTTCAAGTTGTTTGCGTTGCTTGTCCTGTGTTTCTCTCTCCACTTAGGAGTAGACCAATAGCTGCTCTTCTGCGGCACCCGTGCCGTCTGACTTGCGCTTGGGTCTCTTGACACAGTCCCAGCAGGCGAGCCTTGGAGCGGGCTGGGTCCAACTTGCACGGTCAGAGTGGCCCGATCGGCAGGCGATAGATCTTCATCTACGAACAGAGTATTGGCATTGGAAACCACTTCGGTGTTAGTGAGTCGCGGTGTACATAAGAAGTGGTATGCACCAGGAGTCACAAAGGGGTGGTGTTTGGTCCCCAAAGTGAGTGGATCATGGACACCACGAAGCTCCATCAAGCACCGCTTTGTGACTGCTGGTATGTAGAGATTGTTGGTTTTGACATGTTTTGACCTCGATAAAGTATATGGGTAGCCATATAGGTATAGGGGTGACTGCTCTTAGTGCTAGATTACATCAGTCATGGGAGATCATGCGAGAGTTAATCAATACTCAGGCTCAGTGAGCCCCTGCAAACAAACGCTTTCCGGCTCACACGGTCACATGTTCAGGACCTTCGGACCTTCCCAGAACGACCGAACCGGACGGAGCAAGACTTCAGACGACTCGGACGGCCAAAGTCCACTGGACGGACAGAGAATTGGAGGTAGACGGCAGAACTCGGCGACCAAAGCGGAACTGGGCTGTGGGTCAAAAGTCAGAGCCCCCCAATCCCTCGTGACCTCTCCCAGGTAGGTCAACTGGTGGGTCTCCTGCTTTTGACCCATCCCCATGTGAGTCTCCACTTGAGTGAACGCAGGCGAGCACGGCCCAAAGCCGACACTGCAGCGCAGCACAGCTCCGTGCAAACCCGATCTTCACGCCCACTCGGACTCGACCTCATTCCAGCGGAGGAATTCGTGCCGATCCGGCGGATGTTGGGCGCTTAGAAGGATTTGTTTGTCTGAAAAGTAGGATGGTGGGGTGTTGGAATACCGCTTGAAAGAAGGATTCCTTGAAAGACGGGTACGTAAGCACCTGGTAGGCAGGAAAGAATCGACAAAGCGACCTATTGGAAGAGGGTAATATGGGATCCCTCAAATCACCAAGTAACTTTGAAACTCAACAACAATCAACATCTTTTGATTGCGGGGATCTTTTATGTGCAGACAAATCCAAATCCAAACTGAATCGTGGAAGGCTCCCAGGGCAGCTCAACGTGTGAAGTGTCCCGTACTTCCGTAGGCCATGCAACGGAAACCACGAAACCTTGTTGCATCCAGATTTTGCAGTACTGCTGATGCGTCATGTCGAACCTCACTCCACTTTCGGCTCGTCAGACGCGTGTCGCCACAGGGGCGACACGTCGCCCGCTTCGACACGTCGCCCGCTTCGTGCCGTCTCGCCGGTCGAGCATGGCAGAGCCGGAGATCGCCCGATGGCTGCCGGAGATGCGGACCTTCGTGCTGGGAGGCGGGCGCATCTGCTTCGCGCCGCGACTGGGAGAGGAGCTTTCGCTCCGTCTCAGCGATTCTGATCGAACGAAAGCCATTTTTGGGGTCGTATATCACTCTGGTCAACCCTGAGCCTGTCAAAAGAACGGTGGAACTCAATGGGTTGGGGATTTTGGTGCAAGGATCAAGGAGGTGTATTTCAGAGTCAATGAGGAGTCCACTTATCGAACGATGCGATGTTATGAGATTGTGAGCTTCACAATGCAACGTGTTTTTCCTTTCTAAATGTTTTATTGAATCCCTCATATTGAAGACCAGCCAAGGGCCGATTCGCATGTTACGTACCACAACGCAGGTGGTACCAGCGTCTCTTGGAGATTGGAGCAACTGGAGCTCTTGCGAACCGTGCTCATGGAAGAGAAGGCCCTGGAAGTGGTCCACCTGTTTTGTTAAAGATCACTCAATAGATCACCTTACTCCGTACTTTTAAGTCGGCAACATATTGCAGCTGCATGCTAACCATACCCAATCAGCAGGTTTACTATTGTTGTTGGCAAAATCCCATCACACAGGTCTTCCTTGCACCCACCTGTACTTGGACGACCTGTTTATCTTGGGCCCAAGCTCTGCAATAATCTCAGCCTTGGCGGCCTGGAGTCGGATTGGCCTCGCTTGTGTCCTGGGATGAAAACATATGAACACCCATCTCACTCAATAAATCCGGCCCACAAAGGGTGCCCATCGTAGCTCAAAAACCTCATGAATCCATGGGTTGTGGGCTCATGTGGCCTACCCCCGCTGACCGCTGACCTCGTGATTGGTGACCTCGCCAGGAGGCGATTCTACAGGCCTTGGATGAAGATCTGGGCACTGGCGCGGACGAAGGGCAAGGTGGCTCGGCAGCAGCTCCGGATAGCCGTGTAAGTGATCCTGGGTGCAACCCTGGATGCTTCCTGCAAAACTGAGAGGTGTTATGAGTTGGAGTTGGACAGATTTAAGTCATTTATAGTCGCTTTAAGTCTTACAGTTTGGAAGGAAGACATGTGGAAACCCATCTGGCATCCAGGACCTCTTGCTCCTTTTGATGGTGGTTTATATATCCGCCGATGCTGACATCTCCAGATGTGAAACGTCTCAGACCCTTGTCCAGGTGCCTGAATCAGTTCGCAAAAAGACTTGTAGAGACACTTTTGGTATCTTTTGGCCAAGAAGGGGTCAAACATGCTTGATATACCACGGAAAAATAGATTGCCAGAAACACTGGTTTGCCAATATGAACTTGCCCAAATACAAACATTTCGACCCAATACTGATAGAAAAGTGAAGGCTCCTTCAACAATCTGTTTGTTGTCTGTGCTGCGTGCGACCTTTGGAGGCGCCGATAGGCATGTCGCAGAAAGACAATCGGAGTTGATGAGCAGCACATCGTCTCATGCGACGGAGTCTGACTCACCGTTCCCATCTAGCAGTTATGACCTGTTTGGGAATCAAGGTCCTTATCCAGGGCCCCCTAAGGGGTGTCTAGTAATAACCCGTTAGAGGTTAAGGGATGTCCATTAACCACTCCTTGAGGGTCCAGGATCATGTCGACCAATCAGCACTTTTTAAGCAACATCGCTGAGATCGGACCAAGGCCCTTTTCGCGACCTCGGCGTCCTTCGATGGGAGATCCGGCGTCCTTCGATGTTTCTACCCTTTCTCTGCACCGACTGTCGCGCGTTATGGGAGATCCAAGGGACTTCTTCCGTCCAGTTCCGAGGCATCCTGCTTCAACTTTGTCCCATTCTCATGGATGCCTGGCCAAGACGGGGAGTCGACTGATGCGGCCGGCCGAGACGGATTTGCCGGGTGCAACAAACAAGGGGAAGGTCCTACTGTACAGCTTGTGGGGAAACCTAACCCTGGCCTTGCTGGTTTCGAACTCATTTTCTTGTTTCTTCGTTTGCAACCCTAGCAAAGACAGTAAGACGTTCCTCTAAATATATATATATATATATCTGTACGATTTAAAACGACCTCACCCGACCTCACTTGGAAATAACGACCTAAATTTGAAAATAACTTGGACCCAGTTTTTTCCCAAGCGCCAGCAGCTTCAACAGCAGCATCAGCAGCCGCCAGCTGCACCAGCAGCGGGATGAGGCGTGGTGCCTGGTGTGAAGGGGCAGCGACCATCTTGGACCCAGAAAGGAGAACATTACTTTCCCAGCCCGGTGAAGTATTTTTCATGAAACTTTCCGTCGTGGTCTTAGAGATGTAGGGACCCATGGTTTTAAACTTCCTGTAGTTCACGTTGTTTCCTGTCAGCCGCTCTATTTGGGCACAGGGGCCCCCTACCATAAAGCACGGAAAAAACTTTCCCGGCCCGGGAAAGTTTTTTTCTCGAAGCTCTTCCGTTGTGGTCTTGGAGACGTGGGGACCCATGGTTTTGAACTTCCTGTTGCTCACGCTGTTTCATTTCAGCCGCTTTATCTGGGCACAGGGCCTCCCCAACCCCAAAAAAATGAAGAAAACTTTCCCGGCCCGGGAATTTTTTTTTGCCGGGCCACCCCTCGGCCTGGAGAGTTCAACTCAATCGATTGTGGGCTGGCCGCCAGCAGCTCCATAGCATGTAGGGCCACTTGGCCCGATGGCTTTGCAAACCGCCTTTCGCGATAAGCCTTGCCCACCGTGCCGGTTCAAGTCCTCCCTCGGCCGGTTTTTTTCTCACGAGCGCTCGTCAGGTGCAGCTGCACATCATGCAAAGGCTCGCCGGGACGACGTGGTGGTGGAAGTCTGCGCGCGGAAACGGGTTGCATGTCACATGTTTCTGCAGACGTTTACTTTTCCTGAGCGATCTTGCTTTGGGAGCACATGCTTCAGCAGTGAGCAGTGACAAGAGTAGTGATTTTTTGACAACCTTTTCGAATCAATTGCAAAAAGGACACTTTCAGAAACAAGGAAACCTCGTCCAGATACCCAATAGGTGTACAGAACCAGTTCCCTTGGCTAACCCTCACGCACAAAGATGGGCAGACCTTCTTGGGCTGCCGACTTTGCAAGGAGCACGGAAAGTCAGCCAAAGGTTTGGCCGGCTCTATCTACAAGGTCGGCAAGTATTTTTATGGTAGGACTTTGAAGCAGCATCAGGACTCGCCAGCACATTGCAACTCCATCGAGGCATCCTCAGCCACAGCCGAGGAGCTAGTAGCAATGGCACCCGACATTGATGAGGACGCCCCACTGACACCAGAGCGGGCCCCAATCCGAGATGATGCAAGCCCTGGCACCACTATGTCTTCGCCGTCCACCCGACCAAGAGAGGTTTCCCAGATGTACCGCAATTTGCTGGCCGGGGCTTACACCACTCTGGTGAATGGTCTTGCTGCATCATCCTTCACACTCATGACTGGCTTTGCAAGGCTTTGCGGCGGCCACCTGCCCTGTGCGCAAGACTCCCATCAAATATTTGCCGAGTGTCGGGGGTTGATTGCTGGCGAGATCAGATCAGACATCACCAACGACATTCGATCTTTCCCGTACTACGCTGTCTCTGTCGATGAAAAGGACCGCATGCTCGTCTGTCTTCTCACTTACTTCAAAGCTGGGAAGAAAGAATGTGTTGCCCTGGGCTACAAAGATCTGCCAGGCTTTGAAGCATCGGACCTCTTCAGCCAGATCAAAGCTCTCCTGGATGCGTCAGGCCTCAGCAACGAGCACTTAGTTGCCTTCACTGCAGATGGGGCTTCTGTAAATGGAACTCGCAAGGTTCTTGGGGAGGTCCGCGGTGACAACGTGGGCAAGCGACTGCAGGAATGGGCCGGCCACCCAATCCTGATCATACATTGTGCCCCTCACAAGCTGCAGCCGCTTGTCAAAACAAAGTAGATTTTAATTTTTGGCTTGCTTCTCCTGACATCTTTTCCAAGCAGATTGGTTCAAGTTCTTTCCGATTCCCTTCCCTGCCAAGGTTGTGCATCTCCGCAAGCTTCTCGGACCCTTTCCTGAAGCAGCTTGAGAAGCAGGCCCGCGCCCTTCGCAAGAACCTTGTCCAGCATCCAAGCCACACCATTGATTTGGTGTTCTGGTCCGATCTCGTGGGGGAGGACGTCCTGCCAGGGCTACAAGCAGCGCAGAGCAGGTGGCTGAGCCTGTTGCAGCCAGTCAAGAAACTTCTGAACTCCTACCTGTCTGTCCTCTGTCACCTCTTGTACCAGTTCCGCTTCCACAGCACGCATGAACAACAAAAGACTGTCCAGTGGCTCTTCATGGGGTTTGCCACGTGGGAGGCCAGGCTCACTCTTGCAGGTGTAGCTGACATCTTGGAGATCTGCTGGGCAAGTAGAAATGCATTGGAAAAAGCAGCTTCCCTCACCGCTGTAGAGAACATTGCGAAGACACTCTGGGCAGAATTGTCTTCCTACTCTAGGAAAAGCAGTGTCCTTCCTGCCGCCATGTCTGGTGAAGTGGCTCTGCCGGGCGGTAACACCCATGCTGAGGCCCTTTGCGATCTGTACAGGAGACAAAGAGGCCAGAAACTCCGCTTGCAGTACACCGCGAACTCACAGGTTCTTGACGAATGGATCACAATCAAAGACGTGGAGAACGCTGAAGCCATGCGCGTGATCTTCCGACGGCTTGGTGCCTTTGCTGGTGCTTGTTCTGACAAGGTTCTCAGTCGGTTTGAAAGCAAAGCTATCTGGAGTAACATGTACGTCTTCGATGTGTCCTACCGCCTCCAGCAAGAGTCCTTTCAGACTGCCATTTGGGAGATGGGCAACTTCCTCAATCTGCCCACCGACACCCTCATCGATGAGATGCGGACAGCCTTTGCAGTCCGGGATTCCATTTTGGAACGTCACACCAAGGCTGAAGAATTGTGGTGCTCCGTGCTACACTCCATCCAAGACCGAAAAGATCTTCCGACAGCTGAAAAGCTCATCTCATCCTTCCTCCTTGCACCTTCACAGGCAGCAGCGTGCGAAAGAGCCTTTGCCAGCATCACGCAGCTCAAAGGACAGCTCGGCCATGACTGCTCCCCATCAACTCTCTCGAGCAATATCTCCTTGTTGGTCAAGGCCCTTCTGTTGAAGATGCATTGAAAAATGGCTTTTTGGCAAAGTGCACCTCTAAATTCCTGAGTTCCAAATCCCGTCAGTACCGAAAAGGTCGCACCGTCATCCAACGCAAAAGAAAGCAACGCAGTGATTTGGGCAAGACAAGGACCACGTACAAAAAGCGCAGAAAGTACCAAGGCCTCAGGTCCCAAGCAACCGCAAGGCATCTCCAGCGAGGGGCCGGAGAGGAAGTGAAGATGGACGTGGCGCCTCAGGATGTGGAAGAGCATGAGATCTGGATCCAAATGAGCCCCCGAAAGAAAAAGTAGACAGTGAAAACCTCATACCTTATATAGCAAAGCTGGCAGCGCTCCGGCACAAAAGTCCTGTGCACTTTGCTTTCCCGAAGCATGTAGTGTGAGAAACAAACCGTGCGGTTTTAGGTAGTGCCCAGATTTATTGCTCAAAGCTTGCCTTGCGCCAGGCATCTTCGGTGTGGTGCTGGCAGGCCCACGCAGTGTACACAGGGTGCAGGTGTTGTTCAGGGTGCAGGGATGTGAAGACACGAAACTCTTCCGTTGTGGTCTTAGAGATGTAGGGACCCATGGTTTTAAACTTCCTGTAGTTCACGTTGTTTCCTGTCAGCCGCTCTATTTGGGCACAGGGGCCCCCTACCATAAAACACGGAAAAAAACTTTCCCGGCCCGGGAAAGTCTTTTTCTCGAAACTCTTCCGTTGTGGTCTTGGAGACGTGGGGACCCATGGTTTTGAACTTCCTGTTGCTCACGCTGTTTCATTTCAGCCGCTCTATTTGGGCACAGGGACCCCTAACCCAAAAACACGGAAAAACACTTTCCTGGCCCGGGATTTTTTTGTTTTCTGGTTTGGGTTGCTTGTCGGGGCTCAGGGCCATTGCAGCGAACCTTTTCATGATGGGGAAGTTGCTTTTGTGGCTGTACGAGTCAAACAGGCGGCCCTTTGTCGGAAACGCGATTGGGTGATGTGGCAAGGTTGGACCTGCTTTTGTTCAAGGTCGGTCAACCCTTGAGGGTGGCTCGATCGCTGAGTGGCATGGGGCCACTCGCACGACTGCAAGCAAAAAACATGAGCCATGAGAACCCCCTCCAACCTCAACTTCAAGACTGCAATCGCAGCTACCCTCCCTCCTACTATGCTTCTATATTTAATCTTTGGTTTTATGAGACTGACGAAAAGACAGTCTGCAGCATAGCACAATTGGAGATACACGACAACATCAAATCTCGTACAGTTGCGTTCTATGGCGTCGGTGCAGCTTGTCATCGTGTCAGAGTGGGCTCCAAATTTTTCTCGCAAGGTCTTCCGTGGCCATGCACTGAGTGGCTGAGTGGCCCCTTCGCAGAGTACAAAGAGCTTCACAACTTGACGGATGTGTTCATGATCAATGCGGTTTCCAGGATTCATGCTAGCGAAAGCTCCTTTCCATCGGAGCATGCCTTGCTGAACGACGTGTTGTGGTTGGAAGCTTTGTTCCCACGGGACAGAGAGATCTCCAAGCTAGTCACCCTTTTGAGGAAGAAGTATTCGACAGCTGAAGATGTAGCGGCAGTTTTTGGCCAGTTCGCAGTCCGGGAAGAGTTGAGCAAAGTTGGCTTTGCGCGGCTGCTTGGTTGAGGGTCAACGTTCAACATTTTGCATCCCGTGTCAATAGTAGCTAGAAGTAGCAAAGCAAGCTACTTGGCCCTTGCTGTGTAATAGGCCAAAGTTGTTCAAGCACGCAGTTTAAGTTTGTAAGCACCAAACCCAGACAAAAACTGAGAGGTCAATCTGTCATCTGTCTGTCCAGGCTTTGTGAAGGGGTTTCTGGCTGTGTGATCGGAGACATCAACGTGGAGAAGATTTGGGAGTGGGCCTTTGGAGAAACAGCTGCCAGCATACGATACCCTCTTTTTCAAGACTTCGCTCCCAAGCTGAAAGACGCAAGCTTTGGGGTCGTTTTCTTTCTCATCAACACAGGGTGTGTTTCGCATGAAGCTGGTTGGAGTGAATAAGGGCCGACAGAGTCAGAATCCGAAACAAAACTTTCTTGGCCCGGGAAAGTCTTTTTTTGTTTTCTCGTTTCGTTTCCCTCGGGGCTCAGGGCTGTTGCAGGAAACCTTTTCCCTGACAGTATGTTTCCGTTTTGAAGGTTGAATAGCCCTCTTGCGTGGTCGCTGCAGGTCCTTGAGACCGTCGAGGCCGTGCAGGACCAATGGCTGAATCGCACTATGGATCCGGAAAGCGACCGCGTTGCCCCGGTTCGCATGGGTGACCAGCTCCGCTTCACTTCAATGGCTGTGACTTTCGGGCAGCGCGCCCTTGAAGGGCGGCAGGCCGAGCTCAAAGGCGTGTTCGGTTGGGTGACCACGCAGGCTGGGTCGAACCTGTTCCTCCCACGGCGTTGTTACCGTCATGCTATAGAAAAGGTTGCAGAAGTGAGCGAGGATGCGATTGACAAGCGGCTTCAGGGTGAGGACGCAGACATTACAAACCAGTTGGGCTTTGAGCCAGAGGAGGATGGCGATGAATGCGAACCGGGTTCGGCTCGGAAAAAAGAACGCCGCCCCAAAAGAAGCAGTTTGAATGCCATTGCTCCGAAGAAGGTCGCGAAGAAGAGGGGGCCTGCAGGTGGCACCAAGTACACAAGCAGAGCTGAAGAGCAGATTGAGTATTTGCGCGGTGCCAATGCGCCTGACTACCTGATCCCACGGACAGCATTCATCCGCTTGGCCAAGGAAACCCTTGATGAGCTCGCAGCTGCCAACCTTGCCTTTGCGGACGGTGGTGGAGTTCGGATGGGCAGTGATGCCTTGGCTTGTGTTCAGTGGGCATGTGAAGGGATGTTGAGCGAGCTGTTTGCTGATGTTGCCGCAGCCGCCGCGCATGGGAAAAGGATAGGCATCATGCCGTGGTGGTCTTAGAGATGTAGGGGCCCATGGTTTTAAACTTCCTGTAGTTCACGTTGTTTCATGTCAGCCGCTCTATTTGGGCACACGGCCCCCCTACCATAAAACACGGAAAAAAGCTTTCCCGGCCCGGGAAAGTTTTTTTCTCGAAACTCTTCCGTCGTGGTCTTCGAGATGTGGGGCCTATGGTTTTGAACTTCCTGTAGTTCACGTTGTTTCATGCGTTTCATGTCAGCCGCTTTATTTGGGCACAGGCCCAACCTTGTCCAGATACCCAATAGGTGTAGCTTTTAGAAAGGAGCGCTTTTGTGCTTGTTCTGTCGGTGTGAAGCGTTTTCAGGGAGAACTTCCATACGTTCTGTGAGGGGTTGAGATTTGGAAAGCTCCCTTCCACGACCGACACGCCCGAATTGTTCCACGCCCGAATTGGATTGGTGCTCGATCTCCTGCTTCCGCCAGGCAGCATCCTTGCCGTCCACAGCTGCAGCGCCCGCAGACCGGGGGGTGGGGAACGACCCCAGATATTTTCATAATTTCACCCGACGTCACTAAATCAAGTTTTGAATTTATTGAAATTAAGCGACGACCCGAGAATTATTTTAAATCACCCAGATATATAGTTATATTTAATTGTATGTATATATATACCAGTTACATCGAAGGGGTGTCCATTGGGCATCCCTTAGACCCTAAACTCATTGGGCGCCCCTTAAGATTTTTGAAGGTTTGGGAAACCCTGGTTGAAGGATCTTGGGCTACATTCATTGACACCAGGTGGAACCATCCCATCAACACCGGTGGCTCAGGCCGATCTGTGGTTCCAGCAGCCTGCCATCGAGGCTCACCGGGCGAATCACATCACGATGGAGGCAGGATTCTTTGCAAACATGCCACAACACTCGAACATTTCCAAGAGTTCACCAGAAATCTTCACGAACACCCCACAAAGCTCGAACACTTCCAACAGTTCACCACAAACACCACACACATCCACAACATTTTTCCGCCTTCACCACTAGCTTGGCTTGACTTGCAGCCATGGGAAAGAGAAAGAGTGCATCACCAACGGTGGTGAATCTTGGCGGTGAATTCTGTGTCGGCTGTATGCCACGGAGATTTTTGGGGTTGCAGAATGCCTGTCTATGTTGTGGACAACCGCCAAACAGCTTCGAAGACTACCGTAGTGCTTGACACGTGGCTAGCGTGCAGCCTAACTGAGCTTCAATGCGGAGTCTTCTTGGACAGTGGGCCCTTGGGGAAGAGCTACCAGACCAGACTGGTTTGATATAGAGACATGTCTATGTGACTCACAAAGGTGACGAAAAGTGGATGCAGAAGTGGTTCAAAACCTTACACTCAGCAGTCAGCAACTTTGTCTGCATCGCGCGCAGGGCGCCTGGTTCGGGGCCAGGCGTATACACAGAGCCACGCTCTTGAGTACAGAGCAGTTCTTGGAAAATGTCTCTTCGCAGCAAACTTTTACGAGGATACCAGGCTTTGGCAACTCTTTTGTCCAGCCGGACTGGCTGCACATCTTGGACGTCCTGTCTCATCGAGCTGATTGAGGAGGGCTTTAGCACGAAGCTTGGCGTACACCAGTAGTAGGCTTGCGGAGTTTTGATTAACAGCAATGATTTTTTAGTGATACTTTTCACTTTAAGGAAACATCTTCGAGCAGAAGGGGTGAAAGAATACCCGAGTCTGGCCCACAAGCAATCTAATAGGGCTGACCCTGGCCCTCGGCTTTCGTGACGCATTATATTCATGTTGTTTGCGAGCAGCTTGGGATTCCCTTTGGATGTCTCTTGCAATCAAAGGAATCTGTTGTTCTGTGCCGGTGGCTTTGAGCAATCACTGTGGCAGCTGAAAGTTGCAAAATTGAGAAATTGAGCCATGCAGGCTGCGTGCCGCGGTATTGTATCATGAGGGATTGCGTCAGTCCCAAGAGAAATCCTTTTGCGGTCTTGAGCCCAGCGCCTGATGGGCCTTCAGAAGGCAAATTTCTGAGTCCACAAGGCTCTCAGCTGCTTTTTGGCTGAATGTATGGCTTTGTTGGCTGCGACGCTCCTGGTCTTGATTAAATCATGCTGAGTTCAGGCCTTGCGGAAGAGGCAGTCCACTTCTTTGTAAATCTTAGACCTAAACTCCATCAGTTCCTTGGCGTGAGGGTTGTGTCGCCAACTATACCTATTTTATCTTGTTTTCAGTGCTGTTGCTTGGAGGGTCCAGCATGATCAAAGGGGTGCTCAATGAGTTTGGCTTCCTGAGTGGTGGGTGTGCGCCTAAGTTTTGGTCATTTGACCTTCGATGTGGCGCCTGTGACGAATCCTTGGCTTCTGAGCATTTTGGAACTAGTAGTATTTTAAATGAAAAGTAGAAAAGCAACTCCTACATAACCACCAACCCACCAACCCAAAACCCCATTCGCGCCATGGCTGATTTGCTGTCACCAGCTGAACTTGAATGCGTGTTCAATATGCCAACAGACCACACGCGCACACACCATTTTGAAAAATCTGGTTGGAATGTCAATCGGTTGACCGAGCTGTTCGATCAATCGCACCAGAGGCACCTGGCTGAGCTCGATGTTCAAGAGCAGGGTGATCGGGTGCAGAGGCCGCAGCAGCTGCAGTGGCCGGGCGAGAGAGAAGCAGGAGAACAACAAAATCTATTGGAGATTCAATTCAACATCAATCATTGACCTTTTCGACATTCCCACGTTGGTGGACAGAAGGGGTCTCCATGGCAAAACTAACCCCTTACGAACCCTCAATGAAGAAAACTCCTTGAGCACCCCTTTGATCATGGCGGTATATATATATATATACTTACAATTTTATATATACACACATATACATATGTATCTGTTATATATATATAATTATATATATATATATAGTATTTTTCAATATACACACGTTTTACTACTTTGTTTCACTTGTAACGGTGTCGTTAAACTCCCTCCACTCCACGCAGACCATTCGCCAACCAAGGACATCAAGGAAGCCATCAACGGCCTGGAAGACGCTCAGAGTCGAAGTGTCCGGCGGTGGCCGAGTCGAAGCGTCAGATTCGATGCAGTCGAGGGATCCAACACGATCCAACATTCTCTGCCAGATTCTGACGAACGCATCACATGGTTACGTGGATGGCACCCCTCGTTGTAAAGGAAAGTCATCTTCCAAGATTCCATGCGTGCTTCTGAGAACCATGTGAGGTGTTCGTCAGAGCGTGAGGATCCGGCACCATCGGACTCAACGGATTTGCTTCTTTTGGATTTTCCCAAGATTGTGTATTTGTGTCGTGAACGGGTGTCATTTGTGCTGCACGAACTTGATGTTCATGAGTCTTGTGGCTTTATTTTTGAAGCTCCATCCCATGTCATTCATCATTGTAGGGACCCACCCAGTTTGCTTGACTAACATCGTAGCGGCTCTGAAACAATGGCACTGGTACCGACATTGGCCACACCGCTCTCACCATTGTAGGCATCAGCAAGGGCTCGTGAACCCTCATTTTGATCTTGATAGTTTGAGGAAATAATGCGATATCAGTTGGGTTGGGAACTTCTGGCTTTCCCTGCGACACAATAGGAAAATAGGAAAAGGGTTCTTCAAGAAGGACACAAAATGGTGGATCTGAGTATCACACGTTTTTGGAACTTTTTCAACCCACTGGGAGTAAATCCAGACATTTTTCCACTCATTGTTAGGGTCTTGGGAGCTTCTTGGAGCTTCGCCCCTCCAGGGGAACCCCTCAGGTGTCAGGGTCTGATGTTCGTAGTCATGGAATCCGTACATCCAGGAATCCCGGAAGTAGATGTTGCAAGATGCCCCCTCCCACTCACTCACATTGGAGGTGGAATATGTGTAATTGTAAATCAAATCTTTCAGGGAACGTTCCACTTCCATCTTAGTGAGTCGGAGTGTTGATATGTGCATATACGTAATATGTAATATGTATATGTATAATATAATAGATTCGATACACATATTTTTTCATGATAACTTTTAGCCTCTTCCTTGATGATCGGGTGGAGCCTTGCTTGATCGAAAGATCCCTGAAAAAAACACGCTCCAAAAACACGTCTCTGACTCTTTCGTCTTTGCCCAGGCTTGGAGCAAACCCAAGGCCATCCCCACACCTTTGGCCCTGCAGCCGGCCTCCTGCTACGTGCAAGCGCAACCGAAAGGGGTGCGGTTGACGACTGCGGTTGTTGTCACGCGTTGGAGTCGCGATTTTTTGGGCGTTTGTCATGTTTGTCAATGTGGGATGTTCAGATGGGTTCAGTTGGACACATGGTGAGGCTTTTCGACCGGAAAGAAGGAACGCCGACCGGAAGGGCGCTGTGAGTGGTATTTTTTTTGCCCTTCTCAGATGGACAACATCCGATCTCCAAGAGCTGGGAGATGAACGGAGATGATGAGTGAACGGATCAGTGACTCACGGAGATCAGTGACACACGGATGAGTGAACGGAGGCATCAAATTGTGTCTCTGAAGAAACTTTCGCCTGTAAATACTTCATTTGACGTGGGCATTTTTTCCACGCGAAAAAGTGAGGTAAAAAATCACTGGAGTGCTACTGGACTGCTTGGTATTTGCCATGTTTGCCAGTTCTATCCCACAGGTGATCTTGGTGCTGAGCAGCTGGAACTATCCACTGGTCGTGGCTTGGCACGCCTTTCCTTTTTGGCCTGTGAACTCCTGTGAGTTTGTAGACTACCTGTGGCTGACAGCTGACAGTTGGGTGCTTCAAAGGTGATGATGTTGACTTCACAGGTCGGTAGATGGTCCTTCCCGCAGGTGAGGAGCTTGAGAAGACAATCTTGCGACGTGGAGCTCTGAAGTGGACCATGGACACCCACAGTGTCGATAGCCCCTTTTTGTTATGGACACTTCACTCATCAGTCGAGTGAAAAAACTTCAGAGCTCATCAAAGAGAACAGATGTTTTATATTTAGTATCAAACTCTTCTACACAAATTTGCACATCTCGCCAGATATCTCAGGTCATGATCAACCCCTTTGTCAGCGCTCTGGCTGCTGGCAACGCCTGCATCATGGATTTGCTTTCAGAGTTGTTGAACTTCTCTTGAACAGGTTCCGAGTTGGACATAGCCTCTACCATGAGTTTCCTTCACTTTTTTGTGCGTTTCTCAACCTGGTACAACAATGTTGAGTCCCGGAATCATCTCTTTTTGAGGGCCCAGGTACTGTAGGTGGTTTACACTTGACCTCACAGGGTTGTTGTTTGAAGTAGGCGGACATGTTCAGGTTGGGACGAAAATCTGCCATGGAGCCCAGTACCCCAAGTCAACAGAATGGTCCTGGTATATGGATAAATGATGATTTATCCTGATCTCTGCAGAACCACAACGACACTCACCAAAAGCACCCCCAAAAACCACCAACAGAGTTCGAATAACGCATCCTTCACCACAGACTGCATGCTTCGACAAAGCTCGGACGCGAGGCATTTTGAAGCCCTCGGAGCTGGCGCCCGCCAGCGCGCAGGTGACCGGGGTGGGCGGTCGACGGTGGCGGTCCATTCTTCACGGGTGTTGTTCCCTGGTGTTTTCCTGTGAGCCATGCCATAAACCCATTTGCTTCTAATGAGTAAGGGTCCTGTCATAAGAGCCGGGGGCGTAAGGAAAACACTGCAGTGCGCAAGGTTGCGTAAGGTTTTTGTGCCGCGTAAGCCTTTTTGTGTCTGTTGTTTTGCAGTTCGCATTTGATGTGAGAACAGATTTGGTTGAGGAGGTCTGCTGTGTTTACTAGAAACAGGAACCTCACAAAAGTCAAGGAGAGTCACGGCACGTTCCGCATAAAGCGCACCTAAGCTCCACGTAGGCAGCGCGTAAGTCTGATGCGCGTCCGTGAGTAGTAGCCTTTTGCCAACACTGGCCCGAAAATATACACTTTAGACTTTAGACAAGCTTCCGCTCTGCTCATATATGCCAACACAAAACAGGTCCATAGAGGAGAAGCTCTTGGACTCTTGGCGGTGTCCATGAGGCTTGGTGGTGCACTGTTGTGTCTAGTCTGTGGCACACCGTGTGGCCAAATGACGTTTGTGAGGTCGCTGCGCCATGCGGTTTTGCGCGGCCTCGGTGGAAAGAGCGCTTGCGTGAGTCCGTGCCACTGCGGGAAGGAACGCATGCTTCTGCAAGTAGTAAGTCTTGAAGCCCTATATCGTTGTACAATGCACGTCGCGGAAGCATGTTCCCAGCGGATTCGCAAAACGTCTGCGACGTCTGGCTGCGTAAGGGTGGCGTAAGCATCCACTTAATCTATCAAGGTTTCCAGCACAGTGAGTTTTTGGCCCACAGTGATATGCGAGATGGACGGGTTTGAGTTGTGGTGAGGTTTTGGTCAATGCGTGTCCATACTGCTGACCCAAAAAAGAACACCTGCGTATATAATATATCATTTGTTTCAACTTTTTGAGACAAAACTTCTAAGCGTGACCAAAGCCAGTCGACTCTACGACTCCACACCTGAGGGGTTGGAACGGACCAGGTGATGCAGCGGATCTTTGGGCGAATGGACCAGCGGGCAGTGCCTCGACGGTGTGAACCAGCGGTCAGGGGCCAACGGCCGAGGGGAAGGTGAAGGTGAAAATAGGACCTACCTTTTGTTCTTCGGCATGAAGGCTAGTGTCTTGCGACGCACCGGAATAGGACCTACTTGCGAATTTTTTTTCGTTGGCCACTAAGAAGACGACTTGTTGGCCACTAGAGTTCACAATCAATTGGCCAATTACCCCCAGTGCCGACGACTGGACGGAGAAACCGTTCGTTGCATGGTGAATGTTTTCACAACGGACCCCCACGTCTCACCACGTGGAGGGTCGGGTCCAACTTGCGCCAGCGACAGTTAGCAACAGAGACCCCGTCTCATCTCCGTGATGTTCAACAGAACAGTCGACCTACAAGAAAAAACCCCGTCTCATCACCCAGCCAAAACTCTTCACCACAACAGCTAGAGGGCTCAAAAAGCGAAGACGCGCAAACCGGTGGAACCTGCATGGTGGCGCTGAGAAAACGTGCAGCGCGCGGTTTCTTGAGGTGCGCTGTGTCTTGGGAGGTGTGGACGTCTCAAAAAGCCTCATCAGCATGCCCTTCGATCACATCGCCTACACAGGATGGGTGGATGGGGCCGGAGAGACGTCGCGGAGCGAACTCGGACGACGAAGGCGTCGGTCGTCGCTCGGATGATGAGCCACCCGGAGCGAAGCAAGGAAGGTAAGTCGCTTCTGCCAAGGAAGGAGCCTTCAGCATGTTGCTCTTCGTGATGTCAAAGGAGTAGTATATATAGCATAGATATCTGAGATTTAAATATTTATAATCTAGTATGATATGATATAATTCAAATCTATATTCTAATATATGATTTATTACAGCTCAATTGCCCCAGCCAGTAACCTTCCGCTGATCCAAAGCGATCTCGCAGGCTCCGGGCGCGTGGGAAAGCTGATCCTCCAGGCCGCGGCGCCCAATTTGACCCCCGCGCGGAGACCCGGGAAAGACCCATCGCGGACAGGAACGGAAGACCGGGGAAAAAACCGGGAAACACCGAGCGATGTGGGAGCGCGGTTAAGGGGTTATGGGAAGGGGAAGGGGCTCAAATTGTTCGGGGTGGAGCAGATTGGGCATTTTAGTGGGTTCCAATGTTTGATATGGAGGCGGCTACGGGTTCAGAAGAGGACCAACCCACGGAACCAGAGAAAAAACATCGTGAAAAACTCGATCGTGAATCGTCAGGGAGTCAGACTGACTGTAGCAGCAGCAGTGGCTGAATGAAAGCAGCAGGAATCATGCTGGCATTTGAAGGATCCATGAAGCAAGGATGCACCAAGTTATTGAGTTGTCCGCCATTTCACTAACATATCTACAGTAATACTCAAGGTACTATACACTTTGCAGTATAAAGATTGCATTTCAGCTGTATCTTCCTTGTTTGTGCAGCAGCCATCTCAGGTCACGCTGGAGCTGGGAGGCAAATCCCCTGTGATCATTTGCAGCTGGGCATGGAATGGTGTGGATGTCAATTGCACCAAACGGCAGAGGCGAAACACTTCGCTGGGTGGAGAGATGTGATGAGACGCATGAATTCAAGTGCCATGAAGTCAAGTGCTGTAGCAGTTTTGGTGGGATTGCTTGATTTTTGTGCTGGCAACAACTCTTCAACTCACCTGTCAGTTGGCAAAAGGGTCAAAGGTATAATATGACATATGATATATGTGACATGTCAAAAAGATGCAGTTAGCCCTTTCTTAGGCTGGTGAATAAGAATAGGGTGCCATTCTGGTGCCCCTGGTGAAAGGAAGTGAATTGTAGACTTGCAGTTTGCCGATCTGAGCGCCTCTTTTCGCCTCTTTTCCCCATTCTGCGGTTAGATCCATCTCACCGACTGAGCCATCGAACCCATTCGACCTCCTCAAGGGGGAAGGAGCTCGGTCCGGGCTGCGAGGTGGGGGCATCAACATCGAAGAAGCCTGTCGACGTGTCTGGGCTAGACTTCGCGTGTGGTGAGCAGGGTGCAGGTGTAGACGAGGGAGTTCAAGTTGTTTAAGCGATGTGGTGGGTGTTAGGGGGTTTGGTTTGGAATCCTTGACAAAATTAACTATGGCGATAATGTGCAAGTTAAAGAGGAGTCATTGGAAGTTCACGTTCTGCGTTGTTTTTTTTGGTGCGTCGCAAAACGTCGCAAAAAAGATTCCGTTTGCACAACTGAAAAAGGATGAAACAGGATGAAACAGGAACTAGTTATATAGGCATGGTTAGGCTTTCTTCACATGATGTTGACTACACTACACTCCTCCAAAAAGACCTAGCCCATATGAGGAGGGTTTGGACATGTCTTCCTCTAGCAGGTGGGGTCTATGATTGCTCAAAAGGGATCCACCAGCGAAGAAACGATCTGCACGATGATGTCCAGTTGGGTGGATCGGGAGGGATGGTGAGGACATCAAGCGACGTTTTCGACGATTTCCGGCAACCTCACCACATCGGTTGTAACTTGTTCTCGGCTGTAACATCGGTTTTAAGTCATATGACCACGTCCCTCAAAACCCGCTCCGACCCCCTCCGATTCGGGTCTCGACATCATGACCGACCTTGGGACCTCCGAAGGATCATAGAGAAGCAACCTTGAGTGACCTTAAAAAACCCAAGTACCTTCTCAGGTACGGTGAGGACGGAGACACTGTTATAGGGTTAGAGGTTCCAGTTGTACCTTCTGAGCTTCGGTACGGATCCCATAGGGCCTGAAATGGTTGTTTCGTTCGCACCCAGTGGTCTTAGAGATGGTCTCTTCTCGGCACCCTGCGAACATCCGAGGACCCCACCCCCCCCCCGCATCCTCCCGTCTTCCCGTCCTCTGACCATTGCGAAACGCGCACGGCAGAGGCATCGTCGTGGGGAAGTTTTCCAACTCCGGACAGACCTGCATCGCTCCCGACTATGTGCTGGTGGAGCGTCATGTGCGGGACGAGGCACACAGCCTCGATCCACAGATGTGTGTCCGGTTTTTGGCTCTTTAGAAAAAGGCCCGCGACAAAGGGTGGGCATTTTCCTGAATTGGTTGCTTTGGGACGAACATCCTGCACTCGAATAGGATCATTTTTCCACACGTCGCTTCATGCTGGGGCTGACGGTGAACCTTTGGTCACTTTGGTTTGTTGAATGTGAGAGAAGAATAGAGAAGATTCTGAACATGAGATTAGTAGTGGGATGTTGAGGGTGGATTTGCATAAGGACTGAAATGGACTGAAGGGGGAATACGTTTGAGAACCTTCTATCAATAAGCTTTCAAGCGGCTTGAACAGGTATGTTCCATGAATGCTGGAGAACGACCGCATGCGACAACCTCTTGCCCAACTGTTGGACTCTCTTCTTGGAGATTCTCCATACCCAGTCAATCCATGTATGCAACATTATGCAATAGTTACATATACATGTACCCCATTCATTATACCCCAAGCTATTCCTACATGGATGGTCTGGGATAGGAGGTCGTCACCTCAAAAATACATCTCACCTGCATAGGTCGTCTCAAAGCTGAAGGACGTGACCCGGGAAATGCTGGGGGAAGGCGCCGCGGCGGCGCAGAAGATGACGCGCTTGGTGAGTGCCGAGGCGCCACGTCATGGCACCATGGAATGGTCACATACACTGACACCATTTCTGATCCCAATGTAAGCAACTTATATACTATATTATAACTATATTGTTATATACTATTATATATTATATTCCATATAACATTGCGCGGTCTGGGAAATGTATGAAACCCTCACCTGCGTGGCCTCACCGGCTGTCCGCTTTCACCAGGCCTCCGTGCGGCTCCACGCCATGCTGCGCGAGAGCCACGGCGGCACCGTGGCCCTCGGCGGCGCGGCGGAGCTGCCGCAGGTGGCGCGGCCCGAGAAGTTCGTGCAGCCGACCATCGTCGTGGACCCCAAGAAGGTCCGCACCACGGCCGTCGAACCGGGGCCGGCACGGGCACCGGCACGGGCACCGGCCGACTGTGGGCACGAAGGCCTACTGTGGTTTGGAGGAGGTTTGGAGGATGGATGAAGAAAGTGATAAGAGGGTGAGACGGATTTAGCAGGTTGGAATATGATGATGATTTGCTCCCTTCTCGCACTAAAATTGATCCAAGAAGGTGTCCGAATAAGCATTGCTCCAGGCTTTTGGATTTGCAATCAGCAGATGTTCTGTCTCTCCACCCTTTCTCGACTCCAGCGATGTGGATAATGTGGGACAGATTCGAGCACTCGAGTGAATAACGGGTGTTGAACCTTGTTGGAACATAGCGGCTGTAGACAAAGGTAAACAATCTGAGGATGATTCCTGACATGCAGCTGGGCACTGAACGTGAATCCTAGCTCAGACAGATTCTTCTTTGTTGCAGTGGGGGCTTTGAGGGTGCATGTCGATGAGGCACCAATTGCTTCGTCAAACATGTTTCTGAACTTGTGGACATTAGCGAACCAAGACAGGTTGGACTGACTTCTTTCTGGAACATCTGGAAGGAATTCGGTCCTTCACAACCCCCCAGGCCCATCAACAGAGAGAGAGAGAGACGTGCGATGCGATTTCGCCCACCCGCATCCGCGTGGAAGCGACCGTTGTACCGGTCACCCGACAGCGGGTTCGCCCGGTCGAACCACTGGTGCAGGAGAGCGCCATGATGACGGAGGAGATCTTTGGGCCCATCCTGCCGGTGATCACGGTAAACAGCTGCGACGAGGCGATCAGCCTCATCAACTCGAAGGAGTGCCATGGCAGCTTTATCACGCGTGGGCGGGCTCGATACGCCGCTTCACGACTGGGGGGACTTAGTGGGACACCTTTTTGAGCATACTGTATGTGGTTCCACGGATGTATGTAAACTCTGCTCAGAGTGGCGCACTCGCACTCGCAAAGAACCCGCACATGTCCAACTCTGCAGTTTGTTGTTGTGGTGGTGTTGTTGTGTTGTTGGTGTTGGTGTTGGTGTTGGTGTTGTTGTTGTTGTTGTTGTTGTTGGTAGTGGTGGAGACAAAAACAGCTGCCCAACATAGTTGTCACATGTTGCAAGTCAGGGATTTCAAAGGGACACTGTTAGGGATAGGGTTGAAGGTTTGGAGAGATGTTAGTAGCTGGACTTCTTGTCGTTGTGGTACTCAAGTCTGGGTTGGTCTGTTTCTTGTTTCATGATTGTTTTTTTGGGTGTTGTTCTGGCGGGGGGGGTCAAAAACAACAACGGGGCTGCAGATTTTGTTTCTAGGGGGAGTAGAAAGACAACATCTTTTGAGGGGGGTCCCAAAAAAACAACAACGGGGCTGCAGTTCTTGTCTCTAGGATGTGTTAGAGGTTCTAAGTAGAAGTTTTAGAGAGGCTTAGCTGACCGGACTACCACTACTACTACTACTACTACTACGACTTCTACTACCACTACTACTACTACTACTACTACTAGTATTACTTCTACTACTACTCCTCCTCCTACGACCACTACAACAACGACTACTACTAGTACTAGTACCACCAGTACTAGCGCCAGCACAAGCTCTACCACTACTGGTGAAAGTACATGTTGGCTGGTTGTTTTCGGGGCGGGTCAAAAACCAACGACGGGGCTGCAGAGTTTGTTTCCACCCCCTTGTAGAGACAAAGGAACAAGATGTGCTGTAACGGGGCTGCAGTTTTTGGTTGTATGTTGTATGTTGTATTTGTTGTTGTTGTTGTTGTTGTTGTTGTTGTTGTTGTTGTTGTTGTGAAATGTATGTGGACTTCCTCCTGACGGCATGGAGTAGTATGTGAATGTTGGCGGCATGAAGTAGGTCAAACTATTCCTTCTTTCGGTATATCATAACCTAAGTCACCACCAAAAAAACTTGCCCCAGTTATGAAAGTCGATCTTCCTCTACGCAGGCATGAAAGGACATAGAAATCCCAGACATGGGGTGATGTCGCAGAAAAGCGAACATGTTCAGGTGCTTCAATCTCAGTCTTGCTGAATCCATGTATACCAATTGCCAAGCGATCCAAAATCATCCCTGACCTGACATAACGGCTGATCGAGCATGAGAGGGTAGAGCACAGGTTCCCCAACATACATGAGACTTAGAGAGTATGCTTGCAACAGAGGGTAGAGCGTAGAGCGGTGAATCAAGACGAACTGACCAGGTTCGTTGCAGCTTCCATAACCCCAGTTTACCCAAAGCAGCGAAAACAGTCTGAAGAAAATCTTATCACACATATAATCACCCGGATTTGATGGATCATGATGGATCCTTTGAACAGCTCTTGGATGCAATGGATCAGCTTTCCATCGCTGTGAAGCAACGTGCTGGATCCCAGAGTGGATCCAGAACCACTAGCCGAGGCCGCTGCGTACATCTGGGTACCACCAGTGTTTCAATCACATGCAGTTTTGAACCATGTAGAACCTGGTTCTTCCCAATGTTCTGTCCGGGTGACCTTTTTGTTCTGTTGAGAAGTGCTCGACGAATTGCTCGGTTGAGGAAGCCCTTGGCGCTCTACATCTTCGCGCCGGCGCCCGTGGTCGACCACGTCATCGCCAGCACGTCCAGTGGTGCAGTGCTGGTGGGCGACACCAGCGTGCACAAGGGGAAACTCGTGTTGGACAAATCCGGCATCTGAGAGAATCGGTCCGGACGTTTTTCTTCGTGGGAGAGTTCGTGACGGTTGACTGGTGATATCTGGTGATCTGGTCTTTTGTTTGATGTTTTTGTTGGTCATTTTTTGTGCGTTTAGAGATACCCCCAAACGAGAACGAAGCTTGTGAAACCCAGGTCGTCTGGTCCGGACATTCAGGCCACTGGCGGGTTGATCTCAATTGAGCCACGTTTCCACACCTCAGCAGATTCACTGGGTCATGGACTGACCCAGCATGGGGGGTGGTCATTGGTCATGGTCGAGTCGAAGGTCCGTGGGGTTTGAAATCAGTCGAGTTGGTCGGCAGCTCGGTCGGAGTTGGTTGGCGGGATTCACCTTTGTTTAGGGCATCCATCACGAAAGGTTTCACCTCACAGAGTGATTTTCGAGCCAAAGGATCTGAATAGATCTGACACGATCGCCAGAACGGGATCCCAGATCCTTACGGGTGGCCCATCCTAGATTCTTAGCCTTATATATTCAACACTCTCAAGAGCACACCTCTGGCTCGAACTGAGTGCTACGAGTCCTTGTTTATCCTTTTTGAAGGCGGAGTTTCTCGAACAGCTTTCAATTCTCTTGAAACCTGCATGCTTTTTATGGCACATGGCACTAAGTATGGCATTAGCTATACTTTGAGGATCTTGGAGAAATTCGTGGCACTCCCTTGATTGCTTGGCCGAGGAACCCGGGCCTGCCCTTTGGAGGCCTGTTTGGGGTTGGGTTTCCTCGGGGATGCTTCACCGCAAACCCTCTGGCCTATGCGGCAAACCATCAAACCCGCGTCTTCGCATTCAAGTTTGCTTTTCATGTTTTTTTCCCCAAGCATTGTCCATGAGTCCTACCATCCTTTCTACGGCAATGGAAATGAATGAATCCCCAAGCATTTCTCATGGTTGTCCCATCAGATTCCATATGATTCCATCAGATTTGAAGGAACATCCCGTCGGGATGACCCGAGCCTGTCAGACCGGTCGAAGCCCAGATCGCCATCACTCCGTTTCAGCCGGTAACCGGCGCGAGCTCGGCCCCGGATTGGCGGCCAGGGATTGGCGGTTCGGGCACTGGGCGCTTGCATGGCATTTATGGCTTTGAGGAGTTCTCCAACATGAGATCAGAACCTTGGTGAAGAAATAGAGGATCATAGAGGGGTGGTAGGTTTACACCAACAAACATATGAACAAACTGTGGTTTTTGGTGCCTGAAATCAGGTGACTTGCCTGTTTAGTAGGATCCTACACTTCAAGGACTCCAAGGTGTGGCCAGAAATGGACCAAAGATCAAGATTCCTGTGGTCCACCACCAAGCATTGAAGATTCTCAACCATTGGCCGAGACTCCCAACTCAGTACTCCGGATGTATTTGGTATTTTTCGCCACTTCCCGGGTGCGATTCTGTTTCTAACCCGATGCCTACAGATCCAAGTGTATGCCGACATCGGCCCTGACATGACATGACATGCATCCACTTCCTGAGGTGATGCATCGGCCTCTGGCGGTGCCCTCGGCGATGCGCCTGCCGGTGGACACGGCCCTGGCGAAGGCCGCCTGGATGCCGCTCGGGCTCAGACCGAGCGAGCGAGTTAGGCCGAAGGTCGGGTGTTGGAAAGAGATGATGCACGTAGCACTGAGAATGTTTATAAATATGTTTATATATCCTAAAAATAGGTTGAGTTGAGTTGATGTGAGATTTTGGTGGAGGTTTGTGGATGTTCGGTTTGGTCCAAATGGGCACCGTGTAGCGTAACACGAGTAAACGGAATCATGTTTGGTCCAACAAGGGCCGATGTCGGTGAAAGAGTCTGCAGACGAGACACCACTGTCATCACTCACACTGACACTACTGTCCTGATGGGGGCCTATTTATGTAGAAGTATTTAGACGGTCAAGAGTCTCAGAGACATTTTGTCTTTCCCCAAAGGTGCAGGATGAAAGCTTCAGGAGGTCAAAGCATGTCACGGCTTTGCATAGGCTCTGGTAGAACACCTCTGGTACACCCAACCTCCTTCTGATTTAGAGGAAGGAGCAGCTTCGGCTTGTATTCTGAACTCAAGAAAGGAGGACTTATGGAAGGTGGGAAAGCTGCTGTTGCTAGAGACCATGGCTTGCCACTGTTGGAGCAATTGCGCTTTGGGATTTGATCAGTCAGTCTGAGGATGCAATTGCGACATCTCAATTGTCCAAGAGACATCTCCCATCCACTTCTTTCCTCGGTGGGACGGTAGACTGACTTAGGTACTCTGGCTTACATCCTCGCACGCTGAGAAGAGTCAGACGCTCGGCATTCCGCGGCATGCGCATCGTTCCGGATGGATGTTGGGAGATCCGAGAACAGATTTTGGAACCGATTCTTCTGCCTTGTTTGGTTTCCCAATTTTTGAGATGAGGGGAAAGCCTCTTTTCGAAAGATCATCCGGAGCACTATAATACTACTTTCCAAAGGGATCATGTCTTGATCACTCACCAAAGAAGCCCCTCCCTTTCCAACTAGTGGAATATATTTCGAAAGACCATATCCCTAGGATTCCTGGCCAAAAAATGGACAACATGGTTTGAACCCCCAAGAGCCATTGTTTTACGGATTTTACACAACACCAGGTCAACAATGGTCTTTGAAGGTGCCCTGGACATAAACCTATAACCATCTAACCATCTTAATTAGTTACACCATAGTTACCATTGGTGCTGCATAAGACCGCAACGAGAAATGACCCGATTTGAGAAAAATCCTGTATCGACCAGGGCCGTGGTTGCTCCGTTTGTTTTCGAGGAGGGTGTTTATTCTTTTTAAAGGTGGGATTCTCAATCTGACTTAATTAATATCCATTTGGAGCCCTGACCGATGGGCTATCAACCAAACATCGGAGACCACAAGGCTTCTCCGACGTGACAGGCCAAGTCGGCAGACTCTTCATGCTCCTCCTCGTGCTCTTTGTCTTTCGTCGCATCTTGCGCTGGAGAAGATGATACATGAGTCGACTGCGCGGTTGTTGCTTCAAAAAGTCAGGAGTTTCGAAACCAAAAAGATGGAAAACCTGAGCCTGCTTCGGTTGATCACGAGGCACCTGCCCTGATTGCTAAGTGCCTGCCCTCAGTTTTGAGGAAGCCCTACCCAAGAAGTGGCGGGGGAGTCACCTTGGCGACATTGGCTTTTGGCCGTGTGCCCCAAAAAGGCAAAATGCGCGCGTTTCTGGGAGGTGAGCCCAAAAGGGTGGAATGGCTGTGGTGAGGACAGTCTTCAGGATCAACAAGCTTGCAAAACCAACTCTGAGTGTATCCAAACCGCTTCCGCTTCCGAACCAGCATCTGCTTAAGGATTAAGGTTTACCCGGTACCAGGCTCTCATTTAGAGCTGCTAAAGGCCCCCAGGGTTCTTCGCCGGACCAGTGCGCATCCCTGCCGTCGTGGGCCGTACTCCTGGTCGAGTCTGGTGGCGAAACGCTCAGGTCCCGTGGGCGAAGGTGACGAAGCAGTGGCGCCGCGTGTCGCGGGGAGTGTGTGGCCATGGCGCGAAAAAAGACACCTCGCTTTCGGAGCACTGCGATGATGGGCGCTTCGGAAGCGAAGTCTGGATTTCTGATCGAATTCCGCAGTTTCCAGAAGACTGTTGATGAGTTGATGAGTTGATGGATCGAGGCGAGGTTGGTCGGGTTGGTGACCGATGCAGGTGCCAAAACCTGGAATGGAACCAGTCCGCGGCCAAGGGGCTGGGCTCCAAGGCGGGGCTCCAAAGCGCTTTGAGAAGCTGCTTTTCTTTGCAAATGCCTCAAGAATCCTCAAGAAGATTCAAGAATTGACTCATGAAGATCCAGGAAAGGGATCTCATTGCGATCTACACGTTTCACTGTAATGTAATTACCAGGACACCCATCGTGAACCGGGGGTTACCCTTTTCACCTGACCTATCTGGGACAAAGACAGGACCACGTCCTGTGCGTCACTTGCTCCGCCACGGCTTCCACCCCAGAAAGAGCTCCTGAAATCCCCAACCCCCCAACTGATTGGAATCATCATCAAGACCTAATCAGTTGGGGTTTGGACCCCACTGATCCCAAACCGAACCAAATACATGGCCCTTGGAATCATCATGGCTCGGTTGTGTGGTTTTTGCATGGCCCCAGAGACTCGGAGGAGACAGAAATCCATCCGAAGACATGGTGGTGCCATGAACACGCCGATTTCAAGGAGTTAAACCAACAGACAGCTTCGTTCCCAATTTTTTAGGGATCCGTTGTCGTACCGAACCTCAGGTTCGGTACGAGACCCTCAAAACCCACATCGTGTCTCCGTCCTCACCTGAGAAGGTCACTGGGATCCCTAGGGAATCGCTTCCGTTCGCTTCGCTTCCGTTCGCTTCGGCTCGCGTTGTCGCAGCCACCGTTCACCCCCTGGCGGGGGAACCTGTGCCAGGCGAGCTTCTTAAGTCTGGTGGACCGATGCACCATAGCACAGCTGGGACAACGCTTGTTTGGTCAGGAGATTGAGGCCGTCCAACACGGACATCCCACGTGGCGCGGTTCGGGTTCGGTAGCAGGGTAGGTAAGGGTAGGTAGGGCTGATGTGTAGGGCTGATGTGTAGGGCGGTTGGGTGGTTTGTTTGGTTTGGGTGTTAGAGTTGAAACGGCAAGAGATGGAAGACATCCTGTAACGCCGAGAAACCATACGTGGTAAATACATGTAAATACATGCGGGGTGTCCAAGTGGTGTGGGATTTCTTCCATGAACAATTGTCTCCACTTCCTGTGGGCGTCCACTACGCTTTCTCAGAGACTGGTTCCTGAGTTTTTGAATGTAGAGATTGGATTTATGAGGTATATGTTAGACCTATATATTAGACCTGCGTGAGTACCTTCGTGGGCACTTGATGGTTGTTGTTTTTTTTTCTTTGCATGATTGTAGTTCTACCTTCAGATCTGGTATTCGACATCGAATGCATGATGATTTAGCGCCCCGCGTACCCACCCGCTTAAACGTGGCGGGTACCTTGATAAAGGCAAACTCATGTTGGCCCACTTTTGGCGGAAGGGTTGGGTCTATCCTGTTACCTGCAGCAGTCGGTAAACAAGTACATCTGATCATTATTTTGGAGAAAGGCCTTCAACCTAACCATCATCATCCACTGTTACTGGTAATTTACCCAACAGAAGGGTGTGTAGCTCAAATATAGGGAGACCTCCCAACGACTCCAAGGTTCGGAAAAAGGAATAAAGTCTACCCTATTGGGCCAAGGATTCTCCCGATCGCACACCCAGATGTTGCTTTTGGGTTGCAACATGTTGTGATCAAATGCTTGATAGGAGACATGCCGTGTGGAGAACACGGATTCTCCCTATCAAACGCGATAGAACATCTTGCTTTTGGGTTGCCATTTATAAAAACTGGGAGACATGTTATGATTCTTGTGCACTCAGCTCCGAGCTCTGGCGCAGTGAGGGCGTTGCCCAGTCAGGTGTGGCCCTGGGCGTTGGGGGCCCACCCAACAGACTCCATGACTCAGCGAACCGCACCTGCCTCCAAGCTGGTGGTTGCGGACTCCATGGACTCTAAGTCGTTGCCCCACTTCTTCCCGTTTAAAAAAGGGCAGAAAACATACAAAAGAACACCCAAAATCATTCCCACGCCTCGTGACGTTGGCATTGTCCTTTTGCTTCACGATCCCTATATCCTATCTCTTGACGACTCCTCCCTTGCCATATCCCCTCTGACCATGCGGCCGTAGGCCCTTAGTGATGCCCATCGCGCGTGGGGGGCCCTGAAGGCTGTTCTCCAGGAGATTGGAGGACGATGGCATTTGGGGCAGCATTTCTTGTTTTTGAGGGGGATGATGAAATGGAAATAAGGTCGAGGACTGTTGTTTTGGTTTGTTCATGTTTTTGCCACCCGAATTTGGAAGGCCACGCCCAGTTCTGTCTTTTGCGGTTTTGGGCACTGTTTATTTTATTCAGAGCGCTGCCTGAGGCTGCTCTTGCGGCACATCGTGTTGATCTACGGAGCTGCACGAAGCCTGGCGAGTGATGCAGGTGCCAACCAACCCACCGCTGTGGTTTGCTCGGAGGGTGGGAGAGGCGAAACAATTTACATTTGGAACAGAAGGATTTGGTCTTAGTATGTCGTTGGAGTCACAAGGCATTGGAGAGATCAGAGATCTCAATTGTTCGAAGACAACAGTCGCAACCGTTGACATTGAACACAAACACAAAAGGAACAATCTCGTACAACATGACGGGAGGCACTTGCTGACGCTTTCAGACGGGATCACTTTTAGACAACTCATTTGAAGACACTTCGCCAGCCTTGGTACTGGCCTCGACAGCAGCTGCTTCTGTGGCCCTGAGAGCCCAATATCTTCTGAACGTTTGCAGATGGGACATAGCGAGGAGACTTTTTTGCGGGAACATGCTGGAACATGCGCAGCAGACGGGAATCAGAGATTGTCTGGTCCTAACGAAGCCAGGACGTTTAGAAGTGCAACGGAGAAGGATCAAGTTATCAACTCCCTGGACAGGGGCGTTTCAAACCAGCCCGAGGCGGTGTGCAAGTGATGAAATCGATGACCGAGCACAGCTGGGATCAATTAGGATCAACGGGGTGTGGGTGTTGGGGCCTGTCTTCAATCAACCGCCCAACTCCGTCTGCAGATGTTAGAAGCAAGAAGCATGAACAACGCCCTAAGGCCTAGCTGTTTGGGGAGTTCCCTCTTCCAAATCAAGTCACTCACAGGCGCTACCGTCTTCACCTCCCTTTTCCGTGCTCCGCTTTCCGGCGGCGTTCCGCCGGCGGAACTCATGGACTTCTTCCCGGAGGTCGAAGGGGACCTGCCGCGCGAGCAGCTGGTGCTCTTGGTGCGCCATGCTGAGAGCCGCTGGAACCGTGCTCAGGCTCCAGAACACGGGAAACGCGAGACCAGGAGGAGTCACAATGGCACTGCCCATGTCGTGGGAAAGGTATATCTATTTTTTTTGGATTTGGGATGAGCTTACTGGGCACATCTGGGCACTGACCTTCCCCTCCATAACAACATATAACAACCCACAAAAGGAGCGAACCAGTGCAGTTACAACTTGCCGGACTCGCAACGTACAGTGGTTTCAGAGTAGATGGCACAGACCAAAACCGATGTCCTTTACATGGGGGTTCATATAAACCACCATTCATATATAAACCACCTCTTGGGGTCTGTGCCATTGGTCCTCTCAATCCACTATAACAACCAAATACGTCCACCCCGCCGGACCCCCCCGTCGCGTCGGTGATTTCCAGGCACTGAATCGTCACGGACGGCGGGCTGGACGCGGCATGTAGGAGCTCAGAGAGACCTCCCTGACCTGGCGTTCCAACCTGGAAGAAGGGAGAAACAGAGCAACTAAACATCGGGCCATGTGAAGGGCTCTCCTGGAGTTCAAATAGCAAGGAGGGTGTCCCGGATTCCTCGAACTCCGTTGCCACTTGGACGGCGTAGTCTTCTGCAGGCGGCGATGTCGCCGCTTGGGATGCTTTGGGAGAATGTGAGGAGCTGAGAGGAGTGTAGATGAGGAACAGCGGTGTGTATCAGGGACAAGCATGGACAACCCTCGGATCTGAGAGGAGGATCAGCAGGCTCCAATGGCTTTTTCACCGAAGAAGACCTGTCACAAGACCGAGTCACAACCGGTTCCTCTCTTTCTCCACCGCGGAATGCCTGGAATCCAGATTCTGCACCGATGGATGTCCCAGGACCATGGCCTCTCAGAGGCGACGACCACGGCGGACGCGTGTGACGACCGTGCGGTTCGTGGGAAAGCGGTGTTCACCGTTGAAAGAGTGCGAGAACCAGCAGAGCAAGTGCCTGGGAGGTAGTAGTAGTTCTGGTGCTGCTGTTGGTATGTCTTTTTGATTTAACATTCACAGCAGGCAACAGTGACCCCTTGGTATGAGGATTTGAGTCGAAAGTGGTTAAGGAATTGATTTAGCTGTTGCTTCAACATGCTTGCCTTTTCCGAGACTAGGCGGACTATGCGGTCTTAATAAGAACATCAAGTAATTCATATCCACTTAAAAGGTGGGACTCGGCCGAAAGATAGGACTCTCAGGTCCTCCTGCCTTTCTGATTGTTTTTTCATTTCCGGCACTGACCATCACTGTCCAGAGCAAAACAGACCAACCCGACGGTTTCAAACACTGCGCTTGGGGCCTCGTCTCAGACTCATGTACTGACCGTCTCAACTGAGTCAAGAGATACCATAATATAGTTTTTCAATGTTTATCATATTTTTTCTCAACACCAACCATCTACCGGTTCCCATCTACCTGGTGGATTGGACCCAAAAGGATCCTTTTGGTGCCGAAGCTGAGCACCTCAAACCGCGAGCCCTTCCTCAGCCAGGAGGGACGGCGCCAGGCGGAAGAGCTGCGCCGAAAGCTTCACGAGGCGAAGGCGGGTCTCCGGCGGAGAGACCGGGCTGAGACCGGGGGTGGGGTCCGCGGGGTGTTTGGCTCTTGGAGGGTTTTGGATTCTGGATGGTTTTTGGGGATGGCTTTTCGGAGACGGCGCTGTTTCGGAGTCAACTCGGGTGAGACCTGAATTCGAAGCTGTGAAGGACCAAGATTTTCGTGGTGAGGATTCTGGTGATTTGTGTGCGTACTGGGATCGCTGCCGGATCTGCCAGGTTCAGGACCCGACCGCGGACCCTGCAGAGGTGCGTGAGAACGTGGGGTTCAGAGCTCGGAGTGTGGAGAAGAGCTCGGCACACTCCGACTAACATGGAAGTGGATGGCACCACCTGTTTGGTCTTCGGACAATGGTCCATCCTCTTGGGGCCATGCCATCCATGTACTCATGATGGTTTCAGGGAGTGTAATCCCCAGAACCTGTCGTGAGTCTGGATCTTTTTGTTCTGGTCAAGCTATTTTTGCCAAAATTCGCACCATGCAAGGGAATGTCGCAACCAGAGGTTTTGCAGTCGATCTGAGGATGGGGCTATAAGATGCTATAAGTAGACACCCAAGTTGACCTCCAGTCTCAGCCATCCTGACATATCCTGACATTCTGTCTCTAAATCTCTTTGTTTGCTTGTTTTGTTTTGTTTGTTCGTTTGGTTGGTTGGGTGGTTGCTTGCTTGCTTATTTGGTTGGTTGGTTGGTTGGTATTTGTTTATTTGTTTACCCCTAGGCTTCATCGACTATTATATAATATTTGAATAGCCTTCCTGGAAAGCATGCGTTTTTTTGCAAAACAAGGACTATTTTCTTGCCTGCTATTCCTTGCCTCCAGCCCAGCTCAAGAACCGTAGACAAACCGTAGATAAACCTAGGGACATTTTTTGGCATACGTTTTTTGCCGTGGAAGAGGCATGGAACCTGGCCTCACAAAGCGTGTATGAACAACCCGATCACGCGTCAATCGAGAGGAAGTGGATTTTACACAAAAAAACGCTTTTCCGCAAAAAAGACGCTGCAACAAACGCACGTTTTAAAAACTTGCCTTTGAATCATTGGGTTATATACTGCTTTTTCGTGTTGTGTTGTTTGTTGTTCTTGTCTTCCTCTCTTTTCGTGGCTCCCTGGTCATCTGTGAAGTGCTCACATGAAAGACCTGGTCGTGTGGCCTTCGACGCTTCCTGGTCGAGACGGGCTTAGCTTGATGTTTTTTTGACATCTGAGATGCCCAGTTAGCTCAATTCGAGACGTGTACAGTTGATAGTAGAACCATGTAGAACATATGAATTTACAATAATTTACATGAATGTAGTAGAGCCAGACTTTTTAGTCTTTGGCAGTTTTTGAGACTTTGAGAGTGTTAGCGATACAATTCGGGTCGATTCCCCATCCCTTTGATTCCAGAAGCACGAAACCAGGGCCCCTTCCATCGAAACCACCGGACCTGAGCGCTTTACGACTGGACTCGCGGTGAGTGACCAGGCCTGGTGGGTCTCAAAGCTCTTGAGCTGCGTGGCTGTTAGTTGGGATGAGGGGATGACTGAGATGCCTCTTCAGAATTGATGGCTCAAATACCAAAGACTATGTTTGATGACAAACCCTATAAAAGTCACCACTCGGGAATTAAGCCAAGTCTTGAGGCCGGTATCGTTGCGTTCCTGGTGAAGTTTTGGAGTGTGCGGCTGAACGCTGCCGTGCGGCTGAACGCTGCCGTGCGGCTCCACTTCCTCCACAGCACCAGATCTCAGTCATGGCACCCGATTTGGACATAACTGTGAGCACTCGCACTGACAAGCCATCCAAAGGCGACCACAGCCATCCGTACGACATCGCGCGGATCCGGTTCAAGTCCGGTCCGGTCCAGGGTCACGGTCGGGATTCCGTTCCAGGTCGATTCCAGAGTCGAAACGTTCGATTCGATCCTGGTCGACGGAATCGAACGTATATCGAACCGCTTTTGTCTCTCATGCACCGGCATGGTTTTTCTCAGAATAGAACTCCTGGTTTCAAGTTGGAACCCACCGTTGCTTTGAACCTCAGCTGGGACACCGGCAGCGTTTGGGAGTCTGGTGTAGGGGTGATTGGGATCCGTGGCGCGGTCCTACGCGGTCCCACCTGAGGTCCTGATGTCGTCTTCAGCTCGTTGGGGAATCCCCAGAACAGGGAAACGACGGTAGGTGGTTTCGGAGATGTCTATTTGCAAGCTTACTTGGGATGATTGGTCACCTGACTCATATTTGGTCTCGAGTTGAAACCACCTGGCCGAAAGAATATGACATCATGCACAAGAGAATGGGATGGACGGTGATTTCGAACGTCCGAAAGCACGCAGCTGAGAAACTCAGACTGAGCATGGTGGTGCATGGAGCGCCGGAATCAGGTGTGTGTGATGGACAGTGACGGCGTTTCACGGTGCGACCTGATCCAAGACCATAGATGATCCCGGAGTGGAAGATCATGGAAGATCTGCAGACGTTTTGGATACTTCCACTCCTTTTCCCATACGTTTCTGGGTGAAGATTTGGATACAGGAAGATCATACGACCCTCCTTTTTCACCCAGAAACATGCCCAAGGCCCAAGGCCAGCTTCCACTGACCCAGGCCTTTCACGCGCGCCCTGCAGACGGCCAGCATCGCGTTGCAGGAAACAGCGAAACGGTTAAACTGGGCCCGGCCCATCCATGGAGTGGACGGAAGTGGAAGGTGGAAGGAAGATGAAGGAATTGGAACCTTTATAGTTCGGTGCTAAAAAAGGAAGATCCTCTCTCCGGCCCTGATTTTCACCTCCACTTGGAATGTGGGACGTCAGAGTGAGCAGCTATTTGTTGGATCCTTGTTAAGCTCATGTGGCACAAATTCACTGAATGAAGGAAATCGGTGGATTTCTTGAGAAGGTGTTCGCCGACACGGGCTGCGGCGGTCGAGACCGGAGATGGTGAGCTTTGTTCAGAGTCGCAGCTCATTGGGCCTTTTGAAAAGCAACAGAACCCTAATCAATACAAAACATCGCAGTCAGCCGGGTGGCATGCATTGGACATGGGAAGATCCATGACCACATCGGTTTACCTGGGTGTCTCCCCATATTTCACGGTTCATATTATTGATCCAAACTAGTCCATCTACTCCAGACTTTGGTCATCCGCACATTGGGACCAGACACTTCCAGGCTCTCCGCGCTTCCACAGGCCTTTTTTTGCCCAAACCAACTGTATAAAGAGTGAAGTCCGCCAGTGCTTTGAGGACGAGAATGAGAAGCCTCCTCAGCCACTGGATGGTCAGCCAGTCGAGTCGAAACAGAGTTCGTTCACCCGAAAACCGACGGATTCCGGGTGGAACATGTCACGCCAAAATCCTGAGGGACAGAAATGAGGACACTCAGGAAATGTAAGGAACCTGGAGTCTTCCTGGGCCAGTCTAGCAGTCGTTGTGGGTCTTGGTGGCTTGATATCTCCTTTGGCCACCAGGAAATGCTCCAAATTCCTTGCAAGCAGGGTACTTTTGGGTTGAATAAAGCGAAGTCTGGATTCCACAAACATCTCGCGGTCCACGACATCCGCCCCTCAAAGCCCTTCCACTCCGTGTGGTGCCTGAGGGAGTAACTAGGTTACATGGTAAATGAGACAGAACGTGCACACAGAAGCACCCTCACCCCAACACCGGCTTAATCCGGTTTAAGCCACAGATTTAGGCTTCAAGCGGGATATCATCTAGTGATTAGTGATGACTTCTTGACTTCTTCAGTCGAATGAGTTTCTTAAGGTAAAGGGTATGGCATGCGCGAAAACGTAGATCAACTGGGAGATCATCAAACACTTGCGCATACTCGGAAACCGGTTTGAGTGGGAGGCGAACATTTAATGGATATGGCTGGCCGGGCTGAGAAGAGTATTGGTTCAACATCTGAAGAAAGCAGCATCTGCGTGATCATGTCGTGAAATACCTCCCACAAGGCTGCGATGAAAGCCCAAACAAATTAAGGATGAAGCTCCAGTCTTCTTACACCGGGGATACAGATACAGTCTGTACGACATAGTGTTCTCTAGGTAGCGAACAACACCCCGGCATATGTGGATGCTTAATGACATCAAACTATGGCCTTCTGGGTGGCTGGGTGGCTTGAGCCTCTGGAGAGTCAGAAGCACCACTGCCCACGGCCCACGAGGCATCCTCGTACCAACCATTGTTGGTGCCACATGCCTCAGCAACGCGATTCCTGCTGGCGAACGGCAACACTTGGTCGCTGGGCGAACGCGGCCGAGTTCCGCAGTCGTCGGAGTGCGATGAGTCGTGGGTGGCGAAGCGGCTGTGGCTGGGCAGGTCGCCTGCAGTGCGTATGCTGCTTGTTCTTTGGTCCTGAAAGTTCCTGCCTGGAGACCTTCCAGAGTTTCATGGAAAACAGCTGACAGGGGTGACTCAACTGTGGAAGACACCAGGTACAATTCCATTGGCATAGCAAGACAGGTGTCCAAGACGTCTCTCCCTTTCATTCAAGCTAACATCATACTTGTAACCTCAACTTCAAGGTGCTCCTACCAATGGGTACGGTCCTAAGTACCCGTGCTTCACTCGGGTCGTGTCCCGACGTGTCTGGTGGCTCCCGGTCCGTAGCACAGTCCGGTCGGCAGGACCAGGGTTGGGTGGCCTTCTTCAGGTAGGGGTGAAGAAGGCCCTCTTCGGTCCAGCATTGGCGTTGGGCCCCTGAAGAGCAGCCCAGCATTGCACTGGAATTGGCTCGGTGATTTGTCTTGTTGGGCTCCCATATATAGGCAGGCATGGCTTTGGTGAGCAGACGTGGTGGCCTTCTAGGTATGAACCATGAAAGCAGAGAGCCCATCACCAACTCACCCGGCTCTTGATGTGTGTGAAAGGCACGAGTCGGCGCGAGGGCACGCGGTCGGTTTGTCCCGTTGCCCGGACCATCCGGGACCCCCCATCGGTTTGGATCCAAAAGATCATAATGGAGCATAATGGAGCTATATCATGGCATCATGCCATTTCGAAATGGGACACGTGCGTACACGTGAATGTGTGGATGGCGAGGGCCACGAGTAGGTGGTGATGCCAGAGGGTGGTTGCCTAACTTAAGAAACTCCCACCAAAATGACCTTGGGTGCATTTAGTAGTAGAATTCAGATGCAACTTGGAGACAAAAGGAACCTATATTGAGGGGTGTCCGACATGTTACTGTACAGTAGTATTTTTCCCCGACATGTTAAACATTGGGCAGTATTTTTATCCAAAACACTTTGCTGTTGGGTTCTCTCTTCGATAGCCGTGGCTGAGCCGTTCGCCTTTTCTTAACCACTTTGTTTGGGCCTTGTCCGGGTCTGTGTGTCCTGCTTGTTTGCGTATCACCGCCTTGTTGCCTTGTCCCTGCTTGGCAGTGCCGTTGTCCCCTTTTTTCCTCAGCCTTGTCCGGGTTTGTTTTCTTGGCTATGCATGCAACAGTGATGCAGCGTTTCAATCTTGATATCATCCTCTTCTCTTCATTCCTCTTCCAACAAACATGTTGTTTACATGCTGTTCCCCCAAAAGCTGGAGGCTACAGGAAGATATTTGCACATGTTTCCACCTGGAATTGGAATGGAAGTGACGCAAAACATCTTCCTGCTTTACATGGTTTGGGGTCACCCGTCTATGCTGTGGATAGGTACTCGGGACGACTCGGGATTCGCGTAGACCTAAGATTCGTGCTGTTTGTGTGTGTGTGTGCCGAAATACACACGCAAACATGTACTGACCTACATGTAGTATACAGTTTTTCTAATGTTGGGCTGCAAAGGTTCATTGCTCTTAGAGGCTCTTTCCCAATGATACCTTCAATGTTTCCTTCGCGATGCTGCCGTTCTCGGGCCATCCGTCGTCTAGTTGGAAGGTGACCCATCGTCAAGCCAGCCGGCGTCGACTTCGGTCGCTCGACTCATGGCTGCCAAGGAGAATTCCAAAGGGCAGTCGTATCCCATTGGAATTTGGATTCCTGATTGGGCGGCCGGTTATGCAGCAAACGCCCTTGTGGCAATCCTTTTGGAGGAGACGGAGACTTCGACGTTTTGTGAATATGGTGACGTGCTTTTCTGACCATCCGACGTGTGTTTCTGGGGTCAAGGAGCTGCTACTTGTATCGCGTGTATCGCGTGTATCGCTGTAGTCGTTGATCTTGGGACATGGAGCAGTGCTCTTGGATAGGTGCGTTGTTGTACAGGTGCAGCTGGTGATTCGTCGCATGTTCATGCATGTTCTGGGAGGAGTTTGTTGCTCACTTAGATGGCTGTTAGAATGCTTTCAAGAACGGCTTTCTTTTTGATGCTCTCCAAAAGACTCTTGTCTCAATCCGAAGTGAGCAGTGCAGTGCTTTTCCAGCTCGGCCGGTTTGAAGTTCCGACTTCCGACTTCCAAGGTCTTTTGAGGATGCACACAAAAAACAAGGATTTTTGAGGTATACTTTCAGAATCGCCAATGTAACACTGAATGATGGGTCTTGGTTTGCAACCGGACAGGCGGACTGGGACACCGTTGTGGGAGGCTCCAGGACATATTCCAACAGAACATCCTCTTTTCAATGCAGCATCTCAATGTTGTTTTTGTGGTCAAAGAATTGAGTCAAGTTTCAGTTCATGAAGTGATTTCATTCACATTTGATTGGCTCTCACTGCATCGGCGAAGATTTTGTAGAGTCTTACTGGACAGCTGTGCTGTCCCTGTTGACAGTCTCAAAGCCAACCCTAACCTCCTTCGACATTGCCAGGAGGTCTTCGGTTTTAACACCACCGAGGCCTGTGTGCACCCTTTCTTGCGGACGCCGCAGTGTTCTCGTTCTCGCGGAGGATCTTTGAGCGGTAACTTCTTCAACCCGACCTAGAAAGGTGAATGAGCTTCCTTGAGAGTGACCCTCTACGGTGGTATATGGTGGTCACCCTCCCTCACCTAGCCAGGACGGCCAGGCTACCTGTGCCGACGGACGTTGGCGTGCCGTGCCGGCAGGCTGTTGGGTCCGGCACTCCAAGTGCCTTCTATGCCACCAGCGCGTGTGCCGATCCCAACAACCTCGAGGAGCCGCAGTGCGGCAATGATCAGGTGGGGAACGCCTTGAAGTCTGGGATGAATAGGTAGAGGTCTCCATGGGAACAGCAAAACACATACTGTAACCGTAACCTTCAGCAGATCTAGGGCGGTGCCGGTGTACAAATTTGATGTACTGCAACTGTACAAGAACAGTATCCTTTTGAAGTATTCGTTGCATCTTGCTTCTTGCTACCGTTGATTTAGCGCTCGTCTGAAGCTTCCTAATGGCAGTCTGTGCGTAGCTCACAGGATTGTGAGGTTGTCAGTGGTAACTTGCCTGTTTTTTTACGAGCGTCGCAAGCAGAAATGGGTGCAGAGACGTATGTCCACATAAACAACACGGTTCTGGAGCGTGAAGGCTGCTTTATCAATCTATAATTGTGCCTCTAATGATTGGATGCATTTTGAGGCGCGCTCCTATCGCTCTGTCCATGTGTTTGAGGATGAACGGACCCATTTATATCATGGACAGTCGAAGCGGTGAGCACGGCTCACGAGCATTGCCGCACCGAAGTGGCGATCAAACTGCCGGTTCAAGCCGTTGCGGCCTATCGTTACCTAGGAGGCCTCGCAAGGTCTGCCTTGCGAATGCCTTTGCCGCACGAGAAAGAGGTCACCAGCTCGCGCAAGTGGTGCCTCACCGCGCACACGCACATGTATACGCAACAGTTCGTCCATTGATTAGATCTTCACTCAAGCAATTAGACCTATCTTCAGTGTCAAAATTGTGTGAACTTCTTGGAGTGTAACAAGTGTCTAAGGTGCCAAAGACATCCATCGGCCGGACTAGGTTTCGCTCAACTGTGTCAATTGTGCACAGATTCGTTGTGTTGACGACCTGTCATTTCGTTCAGAGTCGATTTTGCATGCTTCAGGTGGCACGATATCATGTAACCTTGGATTGCTTGATTGATTTTCATTATTTATGTTTCACTTGGCATCCACTACAGATTGGATGAATGAAAAGCATCCATGGGAAGCTGTCTCCCCCCCAAACTAGTACAGATTCAGTAGTTCATTGATGTTCTTTCGGGATCCTTCCCTTAAATCCACTGAACTACGCCACCAGCTGCCAGAGTCAGTTGACGCGTGCCCCCAGCTTTCCGTTCCAGCCTTCCAAGGTCAGCCTTGAGTCATGGACGTCCTACAACCCAGCTCTTTGGACAACGCTTCACGAGCAATACCCTACAGTGGCCAGCAAAAACCTGGGCAACATGGGATATGAAGGACCCCGATGTTTCGGATCAAACAAGGGGTGGACCAGCTAATACCATGGATTCCCGAATGCTTAATACGTCTCAATACCATGGAGCAGAACATATTTGCCACCTTAGGCCATAGATTTTGCTTGAAACGCTTGGAATGGATGGGTTAACGGTTGCTACAAGTGGGTCAGCAAGGATTTTCGCCCCAGGCACTGCCCAACCCGAGCAGATGCTGGATGTTTGATCGCGCATATGTTTGGTGACTGAGCACTACCCAAAGAAAGGGTCGATAACTAATTACGTTCGAGGTTTTCACATGTTCATCGACCCGAACCATACAGTCGGCGTGTTGTTTGGTCCGTTGCCACAACATTGCAAACAGATTTTGTTCACAGATGTGACATTGGAATTCTCATTTCGCCCTCCAGGAGTCGTTTCAACCTTCGTACCGACCTTGGACATCAAGAAGGCATATCAGAGTGAAGGCTTGAACTTGTTGTACTTCCGCAACTGGTGCCTTGGAGAGTGGAGATGTCAACCTGGACCGGACCGGACCGCGGAACAGTGGGACAGGGCGCGACGAGAGTCGCGAACATCCAAAGGCCAAGCAGTAGACATGAGGCCGAGAGAAAGAGGTCGTGGGAGGGCCGATCAATGATCCGAACTGCATCACTTGCGTGACGTGATCCCAGTGATCCCGCACGAGTGCCCCGTGGCCCACACGGGCAACGAGTGCCCCGTTTGGCACGGCGTGGCGCCACCATTTGGACGTACCGATCCGGTGGACGCTGCGTGCGCATCCGCTGCGAGCGCGTTTTGGTTCATGCGAGTGACAGGCAGTTCTTAAGCCTTTCGGTGTTGGGAAGCAATGGGCACCTTGATCACTTCCCGCCCATTCTTGGCCCCACAAAAAAGCCCCCCAAACCTGCAGAAGCTTTCTTTTGGGGGCGAGGCACGATTTTTAAGTTGGCCCATTCTTGGCCAACTTCCTTCGGCAGAACTTGGATGTGAGGAATGCTTCATGGTATAAGCCCTACAAGTACTTTGACTCGCTCTCGATGATCAATGCCTCAAAAGTGGTGAAATTATGCAGTGACAAGACCAATTTCTTGTCGCATGATTCCATTATGCAGCGCCATGTGAAGTGGACTGGAGATGCCGATGGGGTCTTGATCAACAACGGTGTCTATGCTGGACACTTGGCGGATCTTGCAGATCCCGGACCAAAGATGAAAGCCCCAAAAGGAAAAGATCAGCATATTGAAATCCCCGTCCATCGTTGGATTCTGTTTTTGGATCCTTACACATTTTCCCTCCAAGGACACTCCCAGTGGTTGAAGCCGCCAAACCATCCCCTTCTGTGCATCATCAGATTGGGAGAACCAAAGTTGTCCCTAGAGTCCTTAAATAGCACTAACGTTTCCTCTTGTTGCCTAGAAGTACCACAAAAATCCATAAACATCCTACAGCTTTGTGATAGAAGCATGTGCATGTGATAGCTATCTTGAAACAACTGGGTTTGATGACTTGTGGCTTGCGCCATCAGTCGCTGGTCTTCCCCCACTGAGCAATAGCCAAACAGAAACATCAGAGCTTCGACCCAAAATCAGAGACCCGGTGGACACGTGTTATGCACTGATGAGATCGGCGGCCGGTCGCCAGGAAGATGTGACGATGGATATTGGTGGACGGCTCCTTCCTGCCGATCGAACACGACAGAATGCGTCCCATGGGTCACGGGTGGCTTCGGCTGGGGAATCGAGGAATACATGCAAAAGAGCACGATCTTCCAGATCCCGATGGCCATTGGGGTGGCACTTTCATGGGCGACCTACACAGAGTTTCCATTTTGGCATCCCAAGTCGCACTTCTATTGGTGGATTCCGGATCCCACCTTTCTGGAGCTTCAGCCGCTTCAGATGATTTTTCCACCGCATGACCGAATCGCCTACAGCAAAGGTGACTTGACCGGAATCAATGAATCAGTGAAGGGATCAGCTACCCCGATATCTTCACCAGCCCAGATATCGGGGCCCCAACGGGGCCCCAAGACCAAGTCCTCAGCTTCCGGCATCATCCAAATCCTGTGATTTCTCCGTATTTCCCAGCATCCGATAGTGAGGTGTTTGCGTCTGACCACATCAAGCAAAGTGGAAGTTCGGGCGTACAAGACAGGGGATCGTTCGAGCTGCAGCTCCGTTTCCTTTCGTAGGTTGAATTGTTCTGTTCATTTTGGATCCCCCTTGCACAGGTCCTTATGAAATGGGGATCCTGGTGACCTATAAAATCATTTTTCCAGGACTCACTTCATAAAAAGCACAATGTTTCCGGAAATCGGAATTTTGAACAAACAGCCTATGCATCTTGTCTCGTCATTTCATAAAGAGGTCGGTTTGGCTCCTGTGTACATTTTATAAACAGTGATTTGTTCTTAACATAGAGACAGCTGGATGTTGGTTGCTCATTCTATAAACAAGTAATGGTGTGAGAGAATAGAACCATTTTATGATTAAAGGTTTATAAAATGGGTTTTGACATGTTTGCCAATGGATTTAATAGTCCTTGGCAGGGGAAAGCTATTTTATAAACCATTCCCTCTGCCAAAGAGCTGGAGGGTGTGGACAAATACGATGGGCTTTGGGAGGTGAACATGTTTATAAAATGGGTTTAC